AAGCGAGATAACGCAGTATGGTAAGGACTTGGATTCTAGAAAAACAAGTAGGTTAATGTTATTTTTATTCCAGACTCAACCATATCATAATAAATTGTATTTTGTGGTATTTGAGAAGACATAGAAAGTGTTTCTGGCATCTTTAAATATAATTTCCATCACTTTCAGTGGACTGGCTCAGCAAAACAATTTGCTTGACTGTGTCTGCCTGTGCCTGTCCACCTTTGTCTGTTCCTGCCAGCAGTGCAGAGCTTTAGCTGCACAGACAGGAGCTCCAGAGGGTCTTTTAAGATTCAAAAGTCACTTTTGTATTTATACATGGAAACTTAAAATGTTTTTGCAAACAGGAAAAAACAATTATTTGTGTCTGTGTCCATTTCCTCCATGGACAAGTGTGCCCTGTGTGAGGTCTGGGTGCACTGGGGCACACTGGGCAGGGTGCCCTTGAGCTCCTGTGCTATCTCCACTGGGAAGAAGAAGGTGAATGGTTCTTGTTTTGCTCATTCCCACTGTTCTTCTCAAGGCAAAGGCAAGAGCAGCTTCACATGTTTGCTCCTGGGGAGCAGCAGGACTGAGACTGATCCTGCTGTTCACCAGTGTTTCCATCCCTTCTCGTTCTGCTGGCATGGAGGGTGTTGTTTAGAGTGTGACATAGGTAAAACTAATAAAGCAAAAAACAGGCAGAATTCTTTTAGCCTGTAGCACACTCCCAGTTCACTTTTCTTTACCCCATAAGCCCAATGACTTTCTGCCTGAATCAGGCAAAGAGACACCCAGGCACAAGGAAAGGAAAAGATGGCTTCTTTAATTGGCACCGATGCATTATTTTTGCTTAAGCTGCATGAAGTGCTGTCCTTGTGCACTGTGTACCCAGTTTGTAGCAAAATCTGTCCCTATGTGGATAAAAGGTGTGAGAATATCCCATAGAAGGCAATGGTAATGACTTGTTTCATTCCATACTCTTAGCAAATTTTTGTAATTTGTTTTGTAGTATCCCTTTCATTTAGTATCCCTTGTGTTTTTATAAGAAGCAAAGTCTTGAGGAATACTGTTCACTGTGCATACTTGTGGTTTTTTCCCCCATAACCATGAAATGTTAGTGAAAATAGCAGTGGGTGATCTCTTGCTCACATTGTCTTCCTTCTCTGAATGTGCACAATTCAGTTTCCTCTCCTGTTTCCTTGTTCCAGTGCCATGACTTCTGAGTTTCCTCTTTCCTTTTCTTACCAAGTCTGTGCTACTAAGGAAAAAAAACCTTACCAAGGATCTTTGAAAAACTTCACAATTGGACCAATGCACAAGTTCAGTTTCTTCCTTTTTGCTGCTCTCTGTGCCAGTTCTTTAAAAGTTCATTGCGTTTCTCTCACCTTTCTAGCTTTCTCATTCTCTTCCATGTTTTATCCTGCTTCTCTCACAATTTTCTTTTTTTTCCCAGTCTTGTTTTTAATCTCTTCATATCTTTGCTAAGCATATTCTGCTTTCATATCTCCCACTTTTTTTTAAATGCTGTGCTCTTAGCTATGTTGACCCCTTGATTTGCTGTCTGTTGTACATTTCAGTGCCATCCTTGGTATGTTTAGTACTAAATGTGTGGGTTTCTCATGTTCCTTTTTTACATGGCAGTGGTTTTCTCTCTGTTTCCATTTCCTCCTTTCTGGTGCTTTCTCATTCATTTTCTGATCTGTCAGTTCTCTTCAGCATCTTCTTGTAGGAGCAGTGTTTGTAGAAGAGAGTGCTTGTCAGGTCCTGTATCCATCCCCCCTTCCAGTTTCTTCCAGGAGTTTGGAGTATATTGTTTCCTGTTCTGTTTCCTCTTTAGCAGTTCTGCTGTGCCTTTTCTTGAGTACTTTTTTTTTTTTTTTTGACATGTGAATAAAGAATGAGATGAGCCCTTGGTGTGGGATTGAAACATCAGAACACAGTGGTGTTTGTATCTTAATCACTCACCCAAGGAGGGGCTTGGCAAGCCAGCCTTGAATGGACCTGTGTGGGATGTCTGTCTCCCAGGGAGCAATCCAATAACCATCTCTTTAGTTCTGTTGGTTCTGCAGTCTTCCACATTTTTTCCAACAATTTTAAGATTCTCAAAGCCTTATGCAGCCTGCAGATGACCTTGTGCCATCAGTGCTGTCTCCTCAGAAGTTCTTTGGCATTTCATCTTTTAAGCTCATTCCCTATGTTTAAGGTCAGTATTAAATAGAGATGGTGATTTAATTTAGCAGAACGAGATCTCTTTGAAGCAGTCATTTCAGAATGATTTTAGTTTTTATGTATTTTATGTAAAAGTTATTCATGGGACTTTGAGACAACTTTTGTATTGATGGAAAATGTATTTTAAAAATAATTTAAATTTCCTTCATGTAATTTTTTGTTTAGTATTATTCTCTGATCAATATTCATTTAGTTGTATTTTAGTGTTTAACTGGTCTATTACCCTGCATACAAGTCCCATAAACAGACATTGTAACTGTGTCTGGATTTATTTCTTTTTTATTCCCCACCCCTTTCTGTAACATTAAAGAATCTTCTCTGTCTGGTTGAATTTTTTGCAGAGGCAGGGTATTGAATTGTACAAGTATTTGTTGGTTTGTTTTTGTTTTTTAATAGAGTGCTGCTTATTCATGTCAGCTGTAGCAATAGAGAGAAGTTATTTTAGTAATAGGTAGGAATTCAGAGGTTTATGGGAGTCAACATAATTTGTTTGTATGTAGGTTTTGAAAAGCTCATAAATTTCTCCCACCCTTCCAAAGGATTGGGAGAGGGGCACCTAAACCCCAAACCCTCAGAGTTGTGGTTGCATCAGGACTGAAAAGTTGAGATAGAATTATTGACCACTGGTGATCATCAGCACACACCTGTGGGAATAACTCAGTGTGTGTTACACCGTGTACAGGGTGCACTGTAAAAGGTGTCCTCTGAAGTGTTTCACTATCTGAATGAGTTCTGTTCAGCTCAGGTCAAGGACTGGCAGTTTTTAGTGTCAGAATGAAAGCTATTAACAAGTAATTTCAGATTGTTTTATCTGGTACTTTTCCTATAGATTTAAGGAATACATAGAGTGTGTTACAATTCTACATTCGCATGGCTTGCTAAAATAAAAAGAACAATTATAGCTCCCAATTAAGTTTTCTTATCTATACTAATAATTTTAATGACAAGGATAAATCCCAAGCAATTACATGAAGATGGATACTTAATCCTTTAATAGATGTTTGCTTGTCCAGAAGTTATCCAAAGCTAAATTTACATATGGAGTAGGTTTTGTTACATGAGTGTTTGGGCAAGAAACTGATACTGGTATGATACAGTATTTTCAGCAGTTCTCTATGGAAAATTCCCTCATTTTTATTAATATTTATTCTCTACATTTCAAGCCCAACAGCTCTTTTCTCCAGTGATGGAGAGGATCAGCTGGATGATTTCCAGAGCAGGGCAGTGCTGTGATTTACAGCATGAATGATGTGAGGCACAAAGTGCTGTTCTGCATGAATGAGCTCTTCAGCACCTGTCCTAGAAGCAGAATTTTCTAACTGCACTTGGCTTAATGCCCATAACTATTGGATACTTAAAAACTAACACACCCACCTTCCTTTCTAGAATTTCTGAATTATTGTGGACTTGTGTTTCTGTACCTACATATATAAGCTTACATGCCTTTTCCTTATTTTGTCAAACACTTACTTGAACTAATCAAAAAAAAGTCACAACTAAAGGTGTTTTGAGGACCTGTGTTGTTACAAGGCATAAGAGCAGTTTTTGGAGATAACTTACTGCAGTAAATACAGGATATATTACTGAATGTGAGACCAAACTTTACTGCTGGTCACTCTGAGTATCCTTAAAACCATAAATGATAAAAGTCCTTGTCACAAAATATATGGGCAAAAATCTGTTTCAGTAAGTAGTAGATAGTGTTACTTTTGGCCTACTTTTACCAGAAGATCGATCTTTATTATTTGATTGGGTTTTTTTTTTTTTTTTTTTTTTTTTTATAAAAGTCCTTGTCACAAAATATATGGGCAAAAATCTGTTTCAGTAAGTAGTAGATAGTGTTACTTTTGGCCTACTTTTACCAGAAGATCAGTCTTTATTATTTGATTGGGTTTTGTTTTTTTTATGTGGCACACTGTGTAGGGAAGTAAGAGCAAAAGAAATTTTCAGTAATTAAAAAATAAGGAAAATTACATTTGGGAGTTCATGAAAGAAGAGAGAGGAGAATGTGCTTTTATGACTCCTTCAGAGGTCTAGAACTTCCTGTTGGAATTCCCTGGTCACCTGTTTTTTGCTTTCCATTACAGAAGTGTTGTCAGTGTGTTAGGAAGACAGCTCAGTAAGCATGTGCTGGGTTATTTTTTTGTTGTTTGGTTTTGGTTTTTTTCCCTTTTCTTCTTTATAAAAACTGCTTTGGTGATAGTGGCTGGGAGTTCACACTAATTTTAGATTCACTGTGAGTCTTCAAAGTTCACAGAAAAACAATGGTGGCACCAGCCTTGTGTTTTTTTCCTGGCTGTAGTGTCCTGCCATGCAGTTCTGCTGTGCCTGTTCCTTTTACAGAGGTTGGTGACACATTCATTCTGTCACTGGTGGAGTTGGGTATTTTCCCCAAGCACTTACAGGTTCCAGCCATGCGGTGCTGTCTCTGTTAGGCCTGTGTGTGCAGTATTCCAGTGTGGACTTTTCAGACTTGCTGCAATGCTTGTTACTCTGATCTAAATTGCATCGACCTCTGGGCCTTCTTCTATCAAGTTAATGTTTCTTGATGACAGAGAACAAAATCAAACCCTTCTTTATCCATGGAATTATCCGTGGTTTCTGCAGGAAGCTGTGACCACATCTGTGATTTCATGCTGATTATCTGACCTTGTTCATGGTGAAGGTTTGAAGTCATCAGATGAGGTAGACATTCATCATAATGATCAAGGTTATGTTCTCTTTAGACTAAGATACATTTGCTTTTCCTTTATACCTCTTTGATTCTTACAGGACTAATTTTTTTTTAGGTAAATTGCCACGATGTGGAGCAGCAAGTCTAATGAGGTGCCTCTACAAAATCCGAGGCATAACCAAAGCAAGGATTCTACCAGAGGTAAGGGTTTTCTCTGTTCTGCTGCCTTGTTTTGGGAGATATTTTGTCACGAGTTGTTTGAAACTTTGGGGAATTGTTCCAGAAAGCATTCTCCTGCCTCAGTTTGGGAGCTAAGAGCTGTGTTCTGTGGCTTCCTTTTTGCAGATAGCAGTTTTGTACTCTGATCTCCGGAGTATTTGCTGATCTGCATTAGCAGTTGCCAGCCTGGGATGTGGTTGCCAAGATGGCACAGAGACAGATTTTCTTTAAGTGCTGTAGAGGAGGAGCAGTGCAGGAGCAGAAATTGGGAACTGTTGGCTCTTGAGGGAAGTGAGGAAGACCCTCTGACAGTTGCTCAGTTCGAGTGGTGAAGACACTTGAGTAGCAACAGTGCATCTCTGCTAGGATGGCTTTTACAGCACTTTTGTCTCCCTTAGCTGGAGAAATCATTTAGCTTTTTACTGTTATGTTTACTCTACTTTAGGAAAGGAGGGGGCAGAAAAATTTTTAAATGACAGTACTTCCCTGAAAATATCTTCCCTGAAAGGAAGGTCTCATCTGTAGAGCAACTGAGTCGCGTGCTAAGCCTGTGGTTCAAGATCGATCATATGATCTCCAGTATGACAAAACTGGACTCCAGAAGTTGTTTTGAAAGCAGAGAAAAATTCTTATTTTATCTCTAAGAGAACATTATTGCTGATTATTTCCTGTGGTGTGGTCAGTTTCTTTTAAAATTGCCTACTTTTTGAAGCTGTAGTGTGCTGTGGACCAGAAGCACTATCTCTAGAAGTCAAAGCAAAGTTGTTTCTGTGCTGCTTCCCTAACCCTTCCTTTGTGTTATTACTTCTTGCCTGAAATGAAACTGGAATTTTTTTTACTATGAGAAAGAGATTATTTTTACAACTCTCTGTTATTACTACTCTCCGTGGTTCTGACACATGGATGTTGTGTTTTATAAGCCATTAGATTGTGAGAACCATTAGAAAACAAAAGAGGGGAACTGAGGAAGTAAATATTTATAGAGGAAAACACTACTACATCCTCCTGAGCTCAATTGCTTATAGAGTAGGTGCTGTCTGTTTAGATTAAAAGGCTTGGGTTAGTACCTCCTGCTTGTTCACAAACATTATTTCTGTTTTGTTTGTAGGGTGTACAGTTCAGAAAGATTACTGTTCATAATTCTGCCCTTCGGAGCTTGGGTTTTGAGTAGAGTCTTTCAGTGACCATGTATTCATGCTTAGTTTACTGAAGAAGAAAATGGAAGGGGGAAAAAAAAGGTAGTTAAACTGTAGTATAATAGAAAAATATATTTATATTGGGGTAGCTTCATTTTATCTTCTAAACATCTGTTATACCTGGTGGATTTGATTTCAGGTGTCATCATGCATTCAACGAAACTTAGTAAACTCATAATATGTTACATTGAATACTTTATAGCTTTGCTAAGATGAACCTTGACTGATAACAGTCTTTCATAGAGGAGATTTACAGATGGGAGCTGTGTTGTAAAAAGAACTTTATTAGCAAGAGCATGAAAGTTGTTTTGAAGCAACATTTTCTTTCATTGTTTTTCATGTACTAATGAGAAATTAATTTCTTTGTTTCTGCCCTGGAAGACCTAACTGCAGCATGGGCTTCTTTTTCTCAGACTAAGGCTGCTGTAAGTAATTTTTTTTTGTTTCTTTTTTGTTCCTTTGGGATTGTTTGGTTTGGGGTTTTTTTGTTTTGTTTTGTTTTGTTTTTTACTCATTTTCAAATCAGTTAGTAGCTACAAAAGCTTTTCCCAAATTATTTTACTCAGTGTTTGTCTCTTCAACAAGTTGTGAATAGCACAAAGCCATTGGAGTATGTAACATTGCTGTATTTTGGAAAAAGTTTTCTTACTCAAACCAATCAGATACTGGGGCAACACCAGTGTATTTAATAATTGTCCATTCTGAGCATTGGGGTTGCTTTATTTCTGTGGGAATTAACATAGGATGATGCAATTGTATCTAAAACCTGGCTTCAGTGAGGCCAAGCAGTTTGGGTTTGCATGGAATTCAGCTCTTTCCCATAGCCTTGTCCCTCTTTTTTCTCAGTAGCTGAGCATCAGTGTGGGGTTTTACATGTGGAATTTGTATCATGCTTCATTTATATGAACCAGTATAAGGCAGTATTACAGAATTTTTTCCAAGTGGAATTAATATTTAATTCAGGCCAAGCATTAAGTCTTTGAATGGCATGCTATTAATTTTTTCAAAACAGCCTATTTAATGGAACAAAACTATGCAACAAAACCTAATTTAGATAATCTTATTAAACAAAACTTAGTAATAGTTTCTGACCACAAGACCATACAGTTTTGCAATGTCAGCCTTGTGAAGTTGCTCTTGCCTGCAATTTGACTCATTGTGAAAAAGGAAAAATTCGTCATGTTCAGGGGGAAATGAAAATGTAGCTTAAAAATAGAAAACAATGTTCTAATTTGCATTATCTTCCAATTCTAGCTACGTCATATAGAGAACAAATTGGAAATAGCTCCCAGCAGCACGGCTGTGTTCGATTCAGTCATGGATGCCAAGAAGCCCTCTCCTAGTGCCAGCAGGAAGAGCAGCAGGAAGGGTATGTATTATTGAGGAGAGAACGTGTCAGGCAGCATAAAGCCACTGCATTCTGGGAAAGCTTGGGTTCTCCCTGCCCCCAGCTTGTCTCCTGCCTGTGGTCTGTATTCCTGAGACTCTAATTGCCCAGAAGAAACTGATGTTTCCTTCCCTGAGCTTAGGAAGGAGAGTGTTCTATCCCAGTCTCTTGGTTAGAGGGGGTGACAGGACTTGCCCCACGCAGTGCTTATCCCACTCTGACAGGAAGTTTGATAAATCCGGTGCTTCTGTTGTCTGACTGAAGGAGAACATTTGCTTATAGGAAATAAGCCCTCATTTTATATACTAAGAGCATTCTGGTAGTGTGCTACTGAAGAACAGACAGATCGACCTCTAGTGGCAGCACTGCTAACTTCACAGATTTAATTACTTCTAATTAATCTTCAAGCATTATTATCTCTCTTTAAGTATGGTCATTGATTCAAGACTTACTGCCTTGCTCCTAGTTGTTGAGATCATCTTGTTGAAAGAGAGAGCTGCTCAAACCCAAGAAAGACTTATGTCAGTGATTCAGCCCCAGGAGCTTTCTCTTTCTGGAGAGGTGGACACATAGAGCATTCTTTGTTTTCTGCTTCAGGTTCCCGGTCCTCCAGCCAAAATAAATCAAGCAAGGAGAAGTCCTCACGCAGCCCTCTTCGAGCAACCACTCTGGAAAGCAACGTAAAAAAATGCAGTCGTGTGGAATTTCGTGAGCCATTGGCTTCATACAGGTTAGTGCTGGGACAGCTGACTATTGAAGAAAAACATGCTAAGATTAGATTTAAGCTAACAGTGGTGTTTTTGACACCTCCTCAAAAATTGGTTTGCTTCCTCCTATCACCTACCCACATGACAGCATGTGTTGTTGGACTTTCTAGTAAATATTACAAATTTATTTTTTATTCAGTGAATATGAGTTTTAAGTCAACTGTTTTGAAATGGGGCCAGGTCATCAAGTGGTGTGACTGTGGCATTAGTGACCTGATGGGTTTGATAGGTATTTAGTTTTAGTAATAAGAGCCAAAAAGACTGTTTCCTTACTCTTTTCCAGCTTTGTTTCATTAGTTCTTCAGCATATGTTCCCAAATGTGTTACCAAGATAGTGTGGAGCAAGAGTAGTACTAGTAGTACTAGAGGTAGTACTAAAGTTACATTCCATTTCTGTGGGTGTGAGAAACTCATACAAGAACAGCTTTTCATGGGACAAAAGTGGTACAGAACAGGCCACAGAACATGATTAATATCCTGACATTGAAGTTTTGATCTCTTTTTCCATTACTTGAGTCAGCTTTGAGGTGGTCCTCCTTGTTGCATGTGACAGGGGTCAATTGATCCCTGATTTGGGTCAGTTTTGTTAATTGAATAGCTCGAGTACTAATTATGCTTCTCTTAAGTTTGATACTTGTTATTTAAGGCTTTTCTCTTTTAAATTGAAGGGTGACGTTACTGCTTGCTGATCTTCTAGTCTTCAATGTTTTATATAGTTCTTTTCAGACCGAGAGTGCAACAAATGAAATTTTGAACAGAAGTCTCCTTCTGTTTCATCAGACTTGCACTATTAAATGTGAGGTGGTCAGGCTTTAAAAGAACTTGCCTTTAAAGTGGAGCCAGGGTAGAGGAAGTCATTCATTTAGTTGATGGATGTGCTGATTGCTGAGGTTGAAGGTCCTACGTTTGTGTTTCTGATGGTGATTTTTTTTCCCCCCTTCTGTTACATCAGGGATTTATATAGTTCTCTGTCTTACCACAGTTCTAGCCAGCTTGAGGCCAAGCAGCTGCTGTCGAGTTTGGAGCTGAGTGAAGCAGAAGGGAAGAGTGAACTCCCAGCTTGCCTGGCGCACGAGCGGGACGAGCGGGATCGGCACAGCAGAGCCTTTGACAGCCCCTTCCCTTCTGCTGCAGAGGAGACCATCGTGAGGTACCTGAATGACCGACCAACAATCAATGCCTTGCAGAGTAACGAGCCATTTCCTAGGCTTGCAGCACTTTCAAGACTGGAAGAAGAAAAAAACAGTGGCTCCAGGGGAGATGAAAGTAGCTCTAGGGCTTCTCAGAGTATCACATCCCAGGACAGTGAACTGAAAGTGTCTTCCCCTTCTGCCACGAGTATTTGCAGTGCTCATAGGCTGGAAATCCTGAAGCAGCGGCAGCACGATGCCAAGTTGGAGAAGCTGAAGGAGAGGATCCGAAAGCAGTGGGAGCATTCTGAGGAGCTCAGTGGCAGAGGGCAGCACGTGGGGTATGCTGAGCAACCTGTTGTGGTCACTAACATGGAGAACACGGTGACTCCCAAGGTCAGGAAGGTGACAGCCGTGTCTGCTGCTCCATCATACAGAGGTATGGAGGTGCAGATCCCCTCCCTGCTGGGTGTATGGGATGAGGGAGCAGAGTTCAATCCACCGAGCAACATTTCAAACCATAGACCTGGCTCATAGCTCTCTTTGGGCAATATGGGAGTGCATGGTTTCATCACAGATCACAAGGAAAAAGAAATTCTTTCTAAATTACTGAAGTGCGAATTCCTTTGAAGTTTTCCTGTCTCTTAGAATTACTATAAAAAGAAGCTCACTGGTCTTTGGGTTGATTGCAGTAATTTTTTTTATGCTCTCAGAGCTTAGTAACATTGTATTGATGGAAAAAGCATTTTTAATAATCTTTTCCTCACCCCTTCTGCTAATTTTCAGCTGCAAGCAAGTGGCAGACTGGTGTATTGCTTTCTTCTAATTTAGCATTAGAAATTCACATAGTTAGTTTTTTACTTGGCAGTTTCCCATCCCTTCCACTCTAACAAAGCTGTATTTACATTTTATGAAGTTATTTTAAACTCTTGAATTGTTTACTTTCAGGTTTCAATCCTGCTGAAACAAGGATTCGCGCTCCAGATGGAAAGATCTGGCATGCAGACGAGTTTCGTATTGGTCGGGAGCTTTACAGAGATATTGCACTCCAGTTAAAAGGTGAGCCACAAGTGGAATTGATTAAGCCACAAAACTTTCTCTAAAAGGCAGAGAAATATATTTTGTACAAGTCTACAAAGTCATGGGAAGAAAAAATTGAAGGAATGGTTGTTGAATATATTGTAATTCTCTCCATGGGAGGAATAATTTACTGAACACTAAAACAACAACAAAATTAGTCTTTCTCCCAGTTCTCTCATTCAAATACTTCTAATAATAAAACAGTACTGAAAAGAATGTCAAGTAATGGCATTTCTTTGAAACAGGAAAAAAGAAAAGTCTCCATTAGAATAACTGTTGTTTAATTTTGTGGCTTTTTTGTACGTTTGCATGAATGAGTACAATTTCCTGGTTAAAAGGACAAAACCCACTTCTAGTTTCTGTTTTCAAATGTACTGCTCCAAGACACAATCTTTATACATCTTCCACTCTGAAAAACTGCAGTACCATTGGCAGCTCTTGTCTCTGGGTGAGCTGGAGTAGGATGCCCAAGTGTGCTTTTTTAATTTGCTGGGCTGGTTACAGTGAAGTGCTGTAAGCTTGAATTGCCTCTGACTGACTGAGCTGGGGGAGGGGGAAGAGATCAGGTGAATAAAATGGAAGGAAATGGAAAATGAAAACCCCAGAGAACCTTCAGTTTTGCAGTAAGAGCTTACTTATGGACAATAACTTTGCTCAAAACATTTAAGACTAAAGGAAAATGCATTGAGATTTAAATCTGTAGGTACCTGTGTAGTAATAAACCAATTTGTCTTTTTTCCTTGTACAACTCAATAAGTTACTGAGGACTCTTTATGGAATCACTCATAAAAAAATTGTTCAGAAAGAAAAGATGCTCTTTTTCAATAAAATTAGTTTGCAAATACGCTATTCAGAGCAGTCTGTGAAATTAGTGCCAAATTTCCACAGACTTTTAATCTACACTAGCTTTTTTTTTTTTTTTTTTTTTTACTTTTGGCAAGCATGACAAGCTCTTTATAGAAATTCAAATATTTTTTAAAGCTTTGTTGAAGAGCTCCAATTAAAAGGCATTTGGATTATGTGTCCAGTGCCTACAAAAGGAAGGAGCTGTGTGTGTGTTGATCCACACTTCTGTCCTGATGCCATGTGTAGAGCAGCTGTTGTGGAACGTGTCTCCTTTCTGAGCTGAAAAGATTATGCTGAATAGCTGATTGCTAGTAAACAAACACTGGTGCTGCACATAATATGTACTGTAAATGTATTTTTAGGTTGTCAGATTATCTATCCATGTGTTACTTCTGTATTAAATTTACACCATGTGGTGTTTTGGGTGTGTACAATCAGTTATATCAGAACTGTTCTTTGCTCTCTAGTGCTGAAATAATCTGTTATATCTCTAATATCTACAGCAGCACTATTCTTTCCAACAAAAAGATTTTTATGTACAAGCATAGACCATACGGGATGTCTTCATCTTTGTATAGCAGTTAGGCTAAAGGATATTGTATGGACCCCAAGTTTCCAGTGATTTTGTCTTAAAGATGTTCAGGATTTGCCACTAGAACAAAATTGCTGTAATAGGAGCAGAGTGAGAAGCAGCCTGTACTTTCCTGGAGTCAGGAAAGGACAGTGAGTAGGATGTTAACTTTCTGCAAATGCAATCACTGTGGCTTCTGGTACTCAGTGCATTGATTGAATTACCTGCTCTTGTCAGCCTTAAAGGCAGCTAGAAAGTTTGTAAGGAAAGGGTGCTAAGGGTGAGAAAAACTCTAAAAATTCCATTCTTACATCTTTGCAATAAAACCTCCTGTTCTTCCTCTGATGCTTCCTATGGACATGCATCAGAGAGTGGATTCACATGAAATTAGGGGCTGTAAATGTTTGCATTGGCATCTAAATAAAGCTTCAGATCTGTCCATAGAGGGGGTTACATCTTGGTTTTTTTAGGTTATCTGATCCCATTCTTTAATGAGGAGGAACCAGAAAACAGTGGTAACAGTGGCCACAACGTTCCTGATGTGCTGGATGTGCTGTCATGCATTAATGTGGAAGCAGCAGCCCTTGTGTTCAGGAACTACATGTCCTTGTGGAACATTAGAGCAGTAAAATGTACTATCTGTAGCAGAAGAGAACCAACAGTTGTTTATATTAAACTGCCAGCATTTCTTTTAGAATTGAAAGTTAACTTTGTAAATATCTGTCATGGCCTTGCTGTAGCTTCATTGCCTTCCAGTGCATAGGTAAACAGACCTCAATTCAAAATTCTGTGAGGATTTTAAAGTGCTGGACTGGAAGTCATTGATCTGAGTGTGTAATGTGGGAAAGTCAGTGAATTCTGTTGTGTTTCTCTGAGTTCTGGTTTTTCAAATGCTGAAGCAAGCTTGTTATTCTATGTTCTCCCCTGTGGGATATCACTTAACAGCTTTTGTTTGTTTTTAGAGGATTCCACAGTGAAAGGAAAATCTAGTGAGCGAAACAAAGAGAAGAAAGCTGCAAGACCAGTGCGGAAGGTGCAAAAACTGACACGATTGTCAAGTCCAGAGTCCAAACAAGGTGACTATTTCTGCTGTAGAGGGAGGATTGTTACATGTCCTTCAGAGATGAGTTTTGTCTCAAGAAAGAATAACAAAAGTGTATTCCTTTAAAAGACTTCTTAGATGTGCAACAGTCCTGTTGTAGTGAGTTTGTGCACTGTACTGCATTGGGGGTTGTGTATGGTTTTGTTGTTGGTTGGTGGCTTTGTGCACTTTTTTTGTGGTTTATTTTAATTTTTTGTCTTTCCACTTGCTGTGTGCACCTTGAGGAAACTGCTGCAGAGTGTGGGTTTCTTGTGGGGAGAAGTATCCTTAGGTATCTGTCAGGGTAATGTAGACAAAAACAAGCAGTAGCTCTGCTCTGGATCCTGTCTCTGTTTGGCCTGTGATGAAGCTTGTTAAAGCCTGACCCATGGCTCAGTCAGCAATTCTGTGACATGATATTAAAATCAGTGCCAGTGGGACTTGCCAAGTTGCTTTCCTGTCAGGTGAGGAGGGGCTGCAGTCAAAGGTGTTTTCTTGGATGGTTTCTCAGTGGGGAAGCAGAGAACAGCATGCTCCTGTTTCTTCTCTGGTTGTTGTACTTCCATGTTTCAAGTTGTTGCTATTCTACACCTTCAGTTCTGGCTTTTTCAGTTGGTGAAAGAATGTAAACACACATTCCCTGAGTAGTCTTCCAAATATTGGTATTTTTAAATAAATGTTTATTTCTTTTACCAGCTGATAACTTTTCCCCACTGTTGTCTGACAGTTGCACTGATTGTTAAATACAATTTAATTATTTAGAGAAGATGATGCAAGCAGGTTTCTCTAGAGCAGTGCCTTAGAGAAGAAAATAAAATTAAACATGTGTGGAATTCTGACGGCGCTTCTTAGTTTTCCAGTTGTGTGAATCTTTGATATTGGCAGCAAAAGAATAGGAAGACTTCCAGATATGCTTCGTATTTGGTTTTAGTTTTCATACAAAGTGAAGCGCTATGGCTGCAATCACACACAGAGCAATTTATTTTCTTTAAATATATGCAAGTTTAGGCACCTTTTGAACCCCTCTTAAGGTTTTCTACTTTCCTTATGTGCGGTGACTCATAATCTGTAAACATTTTGAAGAAAAAAAAGCAGCTTTAAAAATTGCTACAAAGGAATTTTAGAGAGTGAATATGTGCTTTTTCATGCTGTAAATCCTGCTTATGAATATTTTGTGGTGAGGAATACTAATACTTGAAGTGATAAGCATGGATTTGCTCCCTCCTGTGCTGATCAATCCCTAGTTAAGGAATCACACTCAGCTGTCTTATACATTTATGACAGCTCCAAGTGAGGGAGGAACACAGGACAGCCCCAACAATCTCACCCTGTGCCTGAGAGTGTTGTTCAAACCCTTCTTGAGCTCCATCAGTCTGGGACTGTGACCAGTTCTCTGGGGAACCTGTTCAGTGCCCAGACACCCTCTGAATGAAGAATCTTTTCCTAATATCCAACCTAACCCTGCCCTGACACAACTTCATGCCATTTCCTTGGGTCCTGTCACTGGACACTGTCCTGTCTCCTCCGTGGAGAGGAGATCAGTGCCCACTCTTCTGCTTTCCCATGTGAGGAAATCCTCTGTGCCTTCAAGGGAGTCAACAGCTGTAAGCTCCATCCCCTCCATTATATACAAAGCCACCCCCTGTTGTAATGGATTAAATGGGTGGAAAATGATAGCCTGAAATCCCTGGAAGATAAGAACCAGCTCTAAGTGTCATGTCCAAGCTGGTCCATCCTCCAGTCATTGCAGTAAGAAACTGCTTGCCATGGCCAAGGCTATTAATAGCCATGGCTCGTGTTCTGCCCCGTTGGCGTGTTTCAGTTAGACAGCTGACTGGAGATGGAAGGTGACACTCTACACTGGCTCTGTAAACACACACAGAACTGATGTGAGAGCAGTGAGTTGTGCAGGAGAGCCCCTTTGGCTGATGCCTCTGTTTCAGACAGGCTTGTAGTGGCGTGTTTCAAGTGACAGCTCTTTTATAAAATACTTGGATAATTTACAATGCAGACAAGGAGTTCTGCCCGCAAAGGGTTGAGTAGTGGGCTGCAGACTTCTAGGTTAAAATAACAACAAGAAAGGGGGTTGGAAACTGAGGACTGGGATTGCCAAAACAGTTACTCTGCTGTGCAGGATTTCACTTGACATTGTTGGTATCCTGTCTTCAAAGTGCTCTTGGGCTCAGTACAGTGTCTTTTTTGTTTGTCTGTGGTGATCTCATGCTGCAGTGGCTCGGTTTCTTTAGGCAGAGCACTTGGAAATAGAGCCTGAAATGGAATTGTTAAAAATCAACTGCAAATTACATATTCAAGTTAGGTGCTTTTCTGGCAATTAAATACCCCTGAAAGGTCTGATTAATTTACAGATCATTAATTATCTGAATTACCTAACTAAATTTTCTTTTTTTATGCTGTCTCCAGAGCAGTTCCAAAGCACTTTTAAGGTTATTATTAAAAAACAAAATATTAGTATTGGAAGTTAGTGTGTTGAAAGGGAAGTTGAATAAACCTATCATTTAATCTACCCAATATTAGGTAAAGATGCCACCATAACCGGTTGTTATCATTTAATTATATGTGAGATGATAAAATAATCCTAGAATATTTTGATTGGGTTTCTGTCACCTGTAAGGTATTTTGTCCTTGAATTAAGTTTCCACTAATAGGGTTTATTCTTAACTGTTTTTGGTGCTGGAACAGAAGTCCCAGCTAAGGGACACTGAGTTAGCATTGGTGTAAAATGTCTGCTGCTTGATACTTTTTAACCTCCTCACAAGACATATCTCACCAATTAACTATTTGTAAAAGCCTTTCAAGTAGTTTTTAGTAGGTTTTTTTCCTAGAGTATTAGCTAATATTATTTTGATAGGAAGCTTAAGGCATATTTATATCTCACCTTTATTTTGTTCCTCTTATTACAACAATTTAGTTGCTTTTATGTTTTTATTTCTTATTTTCCATTTTGAGTCGTGGTGAGCAACTCTAGAACTATTACCCCTGTCCCTAGTAAGGGACATATATATTTTAGACCTGCATAACCCATTCTTCTTTTTTAAATCACTTTTTGTAGGGCTTTAATGTGCTGCAGTGTGTTTTGGGTGTTACCCTGGACATCAGTGTTCTGGCTGTTTGTGTCACTGCAGCTGTACCACTAATGCAGAATTAAATGGTGCAGAAATGATGAATGGCTGCAATGATACTTCTTTCTGATCCCATGGCAAATCCTCTAGAGCTTGGCTTTTGTTTATTCTTTATTTTGAAGGTGGAAACTATGTGATAAGTGCATCCTCCTGGCGGGAGGGACAAAAGCTGGTAAAAAAGATCCTGGGTCCAGCTCCCAGAATAGAACAGGACAGGAGAGCTGTATCCAGTGACAGAACAGGCCGAGAGAGAGCTGCCAAGTCTGGTAGGTAGTTCTTTTATCAATGGACTTACTTCATTTTACTTTATTACAGAACTCTGCATGTCTGCAGACTAGAATTCTATCTAATTCTGAGGTAGAATGTTCTGAGATAGAAGTTTCTTATCAAAATTACTCCTATTTTTAACCTAGAATTTGAGGGAGGTGGGGGGAAATTTTGCTCACAGCCATGGTTGGGGTGCATAACCTCTGTTCTTGGGTGCAATATGGACTTTTTTTGGTGTCATGGTCCCTGCACATGGGACTTGAGGGGTAGTATGTGCTGCAAGGGTGCTTGGGGTATCTGGAAAAGATGAGATATAGGCTGCAACCAAAAAAATGGACCACCTGCAATCTGTCTTTGCCTCTTGAAGCCAGTGGGGAAAGGAATGGCTAGCAGTGGTCCACAGGCCAGATGAATTTTTCAGGTGTGCTGTACATAATCCATAAGCTGTGATTGAGCATCCCAGTTTAACAGGAGATGTGGTTCTTCCAGATGCAGTTTAATGTCATCCATGTGCATCATAAATATTTATTGATTCCTCCACCAGCCTTTTTCAGAATTTATCCAGAATCTCAGGCAGGACAAATAAGGCATGCTGGGAACTGCTGTGCTTCTTATGCCTGTGAGGTGGTGAGGCTGGTGAGATAGAAAGGGTGTGGGCTCAGTCTGAGCAGGGGCTGCCACATTCAGGCTGTTGACACCAGAGGAAGCAAAGACATGTTTACTGTGAGATCTGCACTCCTCCCTCATCCTTGTTTTTGCAGCTGTTTCCCAAATTTGATTGTTACCTGACATTTGACATCTCATTCTTTAGCAGGCTGCATTGGAAGGACAGGTTCTGATTCTAGATTGGATGTTACCCGTAAAAGCTCTTCAAGAAGTTCTGAAAGGTCAAGAAGTAAAGTACGGTCTGAGACCAATGTGAGAACACTGGAAGCTGCTCTTCCAGGTGATAACCAAGAAGATCATGCCTCTGTAAACAAGGATTTCCTGCCCGTGGAGATACGTGGAATTCTTGATGACCTGCAGTTGGATTCCATGAGTACAAAGCAAGAGACAGATGTGGAAAAACAGAATCAGAAATGTGTTTTGCCTACTCAAACTCAGAGGAGCCACAGCCCGACCAAAAGGAAACCGGACAAGGTAGCGGCCGGTGAGGAGCCTCAGGTGATCTCTAAGAAACGCCACTATGACAGTGATGAGGTTCGGCAGTACATCATCAGGCAGCAGGAGGAGAGGAAGAAGAAGCAGAATGAAGAGAAGAAAGCACAAAAGGAGGCAACAGAGCAGAAGAACAAAAGGCTCCAAGAGCTCTACAGAAAGCAGAAGGAGGCTGTTACTAAAGTGAAGAATGTGCCTCCTCCTGAGCCTTCAGCAGCCAAACGGTTACAGGAAACCTATTCCAAATTCTTGCTGGAACGAACACTTTTAGAAGAGCCACCTCAGCTGCCTACGGTGCAGGAAACACAGGTACAGCTGATTCACTAACTTAAGGTCTTGCAGTTGTTTGCAGGAACAGGAGCTCGTATGTTTAGGGAGGTTGTGCCTTGTGCTGTTCTGATAGTTATCAGTTAAGAAAAAAGAGCAAATCAAAATGTATAGCTTTGCTTAAACAGAGTGATTTCAATGTGCAGCCTCTTTGCCAGTGGCTGCTTTTTGGCCCAGCAAGGCCTGCTAGAAAGTTGACTGAAAATCATCTTTCTATTTTAAAGAGAAGCTGAATTCTGGATATTAGCTTTTCAATTGTAATGAGGCAAGAGCTCCTAAACTCTGACATACTTTAGAAAATGCATTTTTCTGGTTGTCTTCATCTCTAGCCCAGACCTGGTTATCAACCATCTGGGGAATCTGACAAAGAAAACAAGGCTCAAGAGCGTCCTCCGAGTGCATCTTCTAGCAGTGACATGTCCCTTTCAGAACCACAGCTGCCGCTTCTGAGGTGAGCAGATGGGGCCTTGGGGGAGAGAGGAAAGTGCTCCTGCTTTCATCTCTGAGAGGAGAAAATAGCCTTGGCTCTTGAGTTCCTGTTCCAGTGAGAGTGATTGTCTTTACATCAGTTACAGCATTTTCCTCACAGTAAAGAGGAAACTGATGCAGGAAACCATATGAAAATTTTGGCTATGGCTGATTTGCCAGTGTGCAAGTGAAGTGAATAGTGGTTGCTGATAATGTTTTGTTGACGTCAGTGGGATGTGTATTTCATATTGGGACACTCTTATTTCCTCTGCCATTGCCATTGGGCAAAATCACATGAATGTATTTGTTGATTTTTCTTACTTGATTTGCACTGTGTTGCTGTTTGATCTATTGTCTTGGATTCAGCATTAGTTACTCTCTATGAAGTACCAAACACCTCAGCTTCTGCTTGGAACTAGCCTTTGCCTCTTTCTTTTCAAGCAGCTTTCCCAGTTTTGAATTGTTCAGTGTATTATCAAAGTTTTCTTAGTGCAAGTCAAGATGCCTGACCAAACACTTAGATGTAAGGAACTAAAAATCCTGAAGTTTCTTGGATATCCTTAATATCCTATTGTGCAACTGTCTTCATTTTAAACTACATAATGAATGTCTGCTTCTTAAATGTATACTTGCTTCAGAATGTGTACTCTGACTTAGTAAGTGCAATGAGACCTGTCTCCCTTCTAGAAAAGTTGAAGGAAGCTCACTGGGAATGCCATGTACTACTGTGTATAGAACAAAAACCTAAACCCTATGGTAAATGCTGTTATTGTAACATCATAAAGAAAAGATGTAATTGCTAATAGTAGAGGAGAGGTGAGACTCACAGGACTGCATAAGCTATTCACAGACCCTCATAGTCATCAGAGAATAAGTTTTTTTGGGGAACTTTTGGGGTGTTCTGGACATGGGCAGGTAATACTGAAAAAAAATTTCTCCTTTTTGGAGTCAGGAAGTTTTTGGACAAGACTGCTGACAGTGAAAAACCTCAGCTTGTTACAACCCTGAAATAAAGAGCACACCATCAATGGCATTTCAGATTTGGGAGGTGCTGTGTTGTTTGGTTTGTTGGTTTTTTTACTAAATAACATTGTGTTTACTGTCCCATTCCCTGCCCCTCTGATTCCACCGAAAAGTATTTTGTCCTGAAATTAAATCTGTGGCAATAATGCTTTAATCTGAGACATCAATACTTGTGTAAATCATCAACTAAATGTTGACTTTTCATTTCAGGAGCGACCTGATGGAGCCTCCATGGGTACAGCCAGACAGGTTGAGCCCAAGAGTCCAGCTCCCCCACCCACAAGCTCTCTTGGGCTCAAGTGGAGGTCCTTGTTCCCAGCACTGGAGTTTGGAGCAGATGGACCTTCTGTCAAAGGAGTGTGATGCGATGTTGGCAGGCAGGAGGAGCCATTCTGCCCCCGTGGGGTCCCTGATGCCTCAGTTGTACCTGAATTCATCTGCTGCACAGGAAAACCTCTTGGTAAAACCTTCTGCCAGCCAGTATAAGAGCAAATTAGATCGCCTTGAAGCTTTGAAAGCTACAGCTGCTTCCCTTTCTAGCAGGATTGAAACTGAAGCCAAAAAGTTGGCTGGTGCTGGTATCAACTATGGAGCCACGTGGAACTCAGAATTTGTGCAAGAAAACCAGGATGAGGGACGGTGGGCAAAGGCTGTGAGTCCTCCTGTGAGGGAGGAAAACGAAAATACTTTTTCAGCCAGAATTCAAAGGATGTTGGGTGCCTGTGTGTCTCATACAGCCTTTGATGACAGCCTTCCTGGGGTAGGCAACCTTAGTGAGTTTAAAAAACTCCCTGAGACCATCAGACCAATTACTGATGTAATCAGCCTTGGATTGAGGTCTCCTGCTGCCAACAGGCATGAAGGGATCCTGGGACATTTATCCAAGAGGCAGATGGACTCCCCAGGGCGCGAGAACCAGGCATATCCTCTGAGCAAAGCCGTTACTCCTCACGAGTCCAGCATTGACTCCATCAGCGAAGGGCCTCTCCTGAGTGATGAAAACCTCTCAGAAGAGGAAGGAGACCAGCACAAGCAGCTGCCACTGAAGATGTTGGAGACATTAAAAGAGAAGGACTTTTGCATTCGGGAGAGAAATGCTTTTGAGCCCATAAAGGAGTTTCAGAAAGCAGCTGAGAGGTACTCCCCACTTTTCACTCAGACAAGTGACGCACACAGCAAGGGGCCCTGGGAGGAGCTGGCCAAGGGAAGTCCCCACAGTGTCATCAACATCTTTGCAAAGAATTACCAACTTCATGGAAAAGGTAAAAATGGAAACATTTCTCGAAGTTCTTGTGAATTTTCGCAGTCCCATTGCTCCTTGCTCTTCATACTTCACAGATTGTGCTTTCAGAGTTCTCAAATATGAATCTATGTAAGACATGATTTACAACTGTCTCATGCAGGATGCTTTTTTATTTTCACTTTTTGTACAAATTTATTCCTCTTTTTGTTAGTACTTTGTCTCTGCCCTGGAGCTCCTCATTCTGAGGAGGAATGTTTTCTGAGAAGTTGATTTCTATCTTGTGTTTTTTCTCAATTATTTTTACCTTCATATTATTTTCTTTAAAATGATTGCATGAAATTTTCCACAGATGACTCGACTCTAAAGCACTGTGCTCTTCAGGAATGTTTTGGTTGGAGTATGTTAATGAAGTAAAGAACTCAATAATTTACAAAAAGAGAAGGACTGTGCTTGTTATGTTGTGTTAAAACTGCCATGGCACTGCTGTTCTCCTGATGCTTTTTTGTTTGAAAGGAAGTCACTGTAACTCATGGTTGGGGGCATTTAAATTCCTATTACCTATTTGATGTATGTGTTTGTTATAATTTTTGTCCTCTCCCTTCTCTCTCCACACCTCAGTGTTTGAAGAAAGGCTGACCGATGGCTCTGCCCCCCTGCGCCCTCTGCTCCCTGCCATGAGCCCTCCAGAGAGCGTGGCTTCTTACGAGGATGACTTTGCCTCATCGCAGGGGAGCAGCACTTTAACAGACAAGAAGATTTCACGTGACCTCAGGTAACTCTGTTAGACTTCCTAGAAAAATAAAAGTGCAGAATTCGAGAGAAAATAGTTAATACAAGATTTGGTTCGTAATATGCTGGATATCTTTTCTGCTGTGCTGTACTATACTAGTTGAAATGATGAAGTACTTTCTTAGGACCTTGCAGTTAATAAAACAGCCAACATAGTTCAGATGGAGTCAAGTGTTCCTGTTCCAGAGTTCAGTATTCTTGTTCTCTGTCTAATTTTTGCTGTTCTTTAGCCTGGACAGGTAGCTTTAGACAAGATTTTTTTCCTTTTTAGTCTATTGAAAATTAGTTCTCTGATATGTGTGGCTGCAGTAATGCTCAGTTGGGTAGTCTTGTAATTCAGAAAAATAGAAAAGCTATTTTAAGTCTGAAAATGCCTTCAGTACTTCAAAACTTTGTGGTTAATCTGTAATTGCTTTCAGGAAGCATTTGTCAGTGCTTACTTAGTAATGGATACATAAACTGTCTGTAAGAGTTTTTAAAAGCTTTTGTTCAGATTAAAATTTGAAGACTCTAGATCCTAGACTCTCCATGTTTACTACAAGGCTTCCTGAATTTTCCAAGACCCTCTTTTTTGTAATGAGCTATATTTATATCTTTTGGGCACCTTGGGGGAGGCCACAAGTGTGTTTGTACCAGTGATACTTCAGAATAAAAGAAGTTAAATGGCACTTTGCACTCTGAAAATTATTCTTTCTGATTAAAACTTCTTTCTTCTGCTGGTATTATTTAGTGTATGATGATGCATTGGCATCTCTTTTTTGCAAGTCTTTTTTAATCCTTTATTGAAAATTGCTCTTATTTCTGGCAGCTGACATCTGTATGCCCAGAGATTATCTGAAAGGCAGTCACATTTTGAGTCATTCTTACGTTGTTCAGATTTGCAGTCAAATAGCTCTTAAGAGTTAAAATTGGAGAGGACAGTTGCTATCCATCTTTCAGTGTTCCATATTATTGGAAGCATGTTCCAGTGTGTTCAATATCATATCAAACTTGCCAATGCCTTAGCTGTCATAGTTTTTAATCTCAAAACCAATGCTTTTCTAGATGAGCTGAGTAGTGCAGTTTAGTCATCTGTCTCAAATTCAAAGTGTGGTGTGTAACATGGGAGCTGGAGGTCCTTAATCACCACCAGTGTGCTCCTTTCTAGCGTTGGTGGCAGCAGTAATTCAAGCATTCAGGAAGAAATTCCCAGTAGGAAGTCTCCCCTTGAGCCTCGCTCTGTGGATCTCGGTTCTCAGCACTCGTCTGCACCCCGCTCTGCAGCATCTTCCCGCTCATCTGCTTCCTCCAAAAAGAGGGGCAAAAAGGAAAGTAAGTGCAATACTTGGCTGTGGAGGATCCTTTTGTATTAAGGCTTTTCTTGTTAGGAAAATTGCAGTACTACATACCTGGAAACTGTAATCTAATACTGATAGAATGATTGATTTATTCCTCCAGTGATTCCTTCTTAGATTCTTTTCGACTTTGGTTATTCTCTAACCTTAAAATACAGTCATTTAAAGTTGAATAAGCAAGAGGTTGTTAACAGCATTGAAAAGTTTGCTAAACCAGCCTTCTGATAAATAAGTTAAATTATTGTTGTGTGGGAACTAACCTTAGATTCTATACTGGGAAAATGCCAATAGGCTTCTGAGTTAGGGTTATGTTTGTGAAGGTGACAACAATTTTACCTGAATGCCTTGTCTTTAGATCACAGTTAGTTTTCACCAGGGCACAAATTAATAAATACATTGGTTTTGAGCCCATAAAGGTACATAACAAAAGCATGAAGAAACTTGAGGCTTGGTGCACCCATAGTATATAAGCAGTGGATAAAAAAAAGCTAGGTTTTAAGCCAATAGAAACATGAGAAAAACAGGATTAGGTATTCTAAATTATCTCTCTTGCTGTTTTTTTAAAGTTCTTTACCTTTCCCCCAAAAAGCTAGCTGTGTTCTGATTATTAGTAGCAAAGAATCAAATATGTGTTTTCCTTATTTAAACTGATGGTGTGCTGAAATGAAAGCTGAGTGACAGTTTTGGCAGTGAACACAATATATAGAAGAGCTTCATTGCCAGTTCTACATTTCTTACTTGTTGGATCTATAGACTTCTAACTCAGAGGCTGCTTTTATCAGGGAAAAACTTCTCATTTCATTGTTTTGGGGCTTGTGATGCTGAGGTATTCACATGTAGAACCAAATAAACTTTTGACACTGTTGTTGCTTCTTAGGGTTGGATGCTTTCAATGGAAGCTCTCACCACTTTTCTGTGGAAGAAGATAAAATACTGTCTGAATTAGAGAGGGGATCCCAGCAGGCTAAGAAATCCTTATTGAGTAGCAGAATTTCTAATAAAGAGCATGAGCAGAACCCAGATACAGACAGCACTCTGGAAAACTTGTCTGGACACTCCCTGATGAGGTAACAGGAATGTTATGAGACTTTATGCAAATATAATGATGCTTGGTAATGTTACTGGCTGTGTCTTTGGATATGCAAAAGGGAAGTAACAGAACTGGCCAAATGTTAGTAGGATGTGCATGCAGAAAAGATTTCTTCCCTGTACTTTAAATATGAAACCAGGTGTCCTGTCATGTTCGGTACCTTAAGCACTGAAGTATAGTTTTTGTTTCCCTCATCTAGAAAAGGTCATTTAGGAATGTGTCAAGGTTTATTCAACCTGTGCAGTCACCTTTCTTTTTTCAGTAGATACACAGACAATTTTGGCTGTACTTGTGTTCAGCCAATACTCACAAAGCCTATCCAGCTCTCTGAGGTGATGCCTTTTGAGTGATGAAGCCATTCCTGGAAGAGTGTATTAAAAAAAAGAAAGAAACACATGCTTTCTGTTGCAACCTCTTTTTGTCTAGCTAAAAATGCAGTTTTTCTGCTAATTGTCCAATGAAGGTGGTTCTGAAACACTTGGTTTTCACTGCACTTTTTTCTAAAAAGCATCAAACAATTTGAGTGATCTCTCATTCTGCCTTGGTTTAGAGCAGTTCTGAGGTATTGGCTTCTATTGGTGACTGTTGCTGACATCCAGGATTGGGTTTGAAAGGTCCTTTGACCTTCTAAGATGTGCCAAGTAAAACAGAATGTCTTCCCAAAGGATTTAAACAGCCACTGTTAATCCTCTTCAACCTAATAAAATTGAAATAGTAAATTTAAGAAGCATCTCTATAATTTTCTTTGTTTTAAAAAGGAATGTCTTTTCTCAAAAAGTGTTACCATAGTATCTTAACAATTGTTCAAGTCAAGTTTTGGTCTCCATTGCATTTTAGGAGAGAGCTCAAGACTCAAGACAGTGTCTTGTCACAATCAGTTGCATCCATGTGCTGATAGTAAACTGTTCACTTTTTAAAATACAGGTGCAGATGATTGCATCCTGACTTTCTCATGCCAGGCTCCTAACAGGAGGCACTGAAACTGCTTGTCTGGTCATGTAGAACATGAAGATACTCTGTTAATTTTTTTTTTAATTAATGTTTTTGTTTGTGTATGTGCTAACTACGCTTAATAATTGGGGAAAAATAGGGTGCTCTAGAAATTTAACTCTGAATTGGGATTTAGGGACAAAACCCATCTTGTGAGGCCATTTCCTGAAGGTAGACTGGGCCTGTGCAAGCTGAACAGACTGTGCCCTTTGCATGGATCTGTTTGTGTGTAGGAATGGAAGAACAAGGCTCTTCCTTTATTTTGTCAAATGGCTGGACTAGGAGAATTATTGACTTCTTTTGGTTTTTGTTTCTGTAAGTTTCTCAGACAAAGGGAGACCCCAGAAGACACCAACTTCTTCCCCGTCTTCTGGCTCCCAGAAAATGTTGCAGTTGGATTCTGCAGGCAATACAGCAGAAAGAGTCAAGTCACCTGCTGGCTTTTCTGGAGGTGCAGCCCCAGGGCTGAAGCCAAACGTGGCCTTCCCTGACGCGGGCCTGGGAACCGGCAGGCCTGCAGCAGGAGCAGCCTCAACGAGCGGTGAGTATTTGTAAAAACCATGCTGCTGCCAGAGCAGCTACGGCATTTCTCCTTGAGTTTTTGGTGTGGGACGCTGAGGGCGTGAGGGTGAGCAGTGTTTGTTGCCCTGCAGGGTGCATGCGCTTCTCCCCCGCGGGGCTGCAGCACCGTCTGTCAGCGGAGCTGAGCTACCTGAGCGCTCTCGAGGAGTCCGTGCGGCAGCTCTCGGATCTGGAGCGGGTACGAGGCATTTCCCTCGCCCAGCAGGAGAGTGTTTCTTTGGCTCAGATTCTCAAGGTAATGGGGAAATACGTCTTAACCTTTCTCTTTTTTTCTTCTGTTGTTTGTTTGCAAAAAAATTAATCAAGTTAGGGCAAGTTAAGGTTTTGTTAGCAGTGCAGAAAAATCGTAATGGCATGATGGGGCATCTCTGATAATGGCCATTTTTTAGGATGAATGTCTGTTATCTTTCTTATTTTAAGGCGACACCAAGGAAGTAGCTGTTGCTGACTCTCCGTGTTGTGAGACATGAGGCTTGACTCCATTTCAGAACGCTGATTTATTATGTTAAATATTATATTAAAATACTACATTAAGACTATACTAAAAGAACAGAGAGATCAGAAGGCTACAACAAGAACAGAACAGAATAACAAAATCCTGTGACTGCTCACAGCCTTGGCACAGGTGGCTATGATTGGTCATCAATGGAAAACAATCCACATGGACCAATCACGGATGCACCTGTTGCATTCCACAGCAGCAGATAGTAATTGTTTACATTTCTCTCCTGAGTCTGCTCAGCTTCTCAGGAGAGGAAAAATCCCAGCAAAGGATTTTTTATAATATCATGGCTACAAGTAGCTACTCTGGAATATGTGTTGCTAAGATACTCTTAGCTGGAATCACTGTTTTGGTTGTATTCCTTGTTTTGGTTGTGTTCCTCAGATAAAAGCACGATTGTTTCCTTTTATTGATGTTGAGTTCCAGTGCCATGCAGTGTAGTTGTTTGGGCTGGATGATTTTGTTTTATTCCACAAATACAATATTTTTAGCTGAAGTTTCCTTATGTTGACAAGATTGTTTATTCTAGTTTGTTGAATTAATTGATCACCTAAACTCCTGCACTGTGGTAGAAGAGTATGGGGAATGTGCATTACCTCAGAAAGAAAGAGGGTCAGTGGGTTAAAAACTCTGTTTCAGCAGAAGAGACACCCCCAGCAGAGTAGATCCAGGTCTTTAAGAAGGTAGTTGAAACCAGTGGCTGAAGCAAATCACATCTTTACGTTTAACTTGCATGGTTAAAACTTGTTTTCCTGATCTGTAGGCACAACAGCAGCGCCATGAGCGGGACTTGGCTCTTTGGAAAATCAAGGCTGAACAAGAAGCTCTAGAATGTCAGAGACAACTGGAAGAGGCAAGGCAGAAGGCAGCTCAGGTAAGGCTGCCGTTCAAAAATACAGAGTGTGTGAGAGGCAAAATGTTGTAAATAAATCCATGCCTACAGGTATTCTTAATTTGAACCTGTGAACCTATGGAAGTGCCAAAGGGTTTAATACAGCTAAAAGAAACTCTCAAGGGCCTGTTTCAAACTTTTTTCTGCCAGATTTTGAGAAATAAATCTATAGTTACTATAGCCAGGCCATTTTGAAGAACTGAACTGTGTTTTCTGCCTAGGTCCATGCAGAGTCACTGCAGCAGCTGGTGCAGTCACGGCAGGAGGCTGGGCAGGAGCCCCCGTGCAAGGCTGCAGCCAAACAGGCAGAACCTGCCCTGCTCTCTACAGATGCAACTCACCAGCTCCGTGAGGTGAGGCCACAGGGGGAGAAAAAAGCTATTTTACTGCTGTGAATACTTTTTTGCCTTTTAAGTTATTTTTTGTTTGGTGTCATTCCTGGTACAACTTCTTCACTTTCATAACATGACAGATGATAGGACTTCAAAGGAGCTGCTCTGGCATCGTTAGTTAGAAGTCAATCAGCAGCCTTAAATCCCTGTTCCATATTCTTAAGATCTTCCAGTCAATGAACTGTTAAGAAGTTTGTTCTTCCAGGACAGATTGATGACAGTGAATATAGCATCTTCAGTTTGTAAGAGTTGGTCTCCATCAAGAATTGATCCTGTCTCTGTTTCATGTGCAAATTAAATTAGAAAAGCAGAGAATTGCAATTTTGCTTACTGCTGAAGGTAGAACAACAACAAATAAAATTAAAAAAAAAAAAGGAGAAGGGAGAATCTTCAGCAAAACTCTTGACTTGGTGCAGAGTTTGAAGTTTCCTTGTTTTGAATCTCTTTGTTTTTCTTCTGCTATACAGAATATTTATTAGTTTTCAGGGGTTTATATCAGTTTATCAGTTTTTATACTTCTTGTTTCCAGTATGTAGCAGCTGCTTCAAACATGGATAAGGAACACAGTAACCAAGAAATGCTCTTAGTCCATCACAGTTTAGAAACCACTGTGACTGTGGGTCAGTATTATGGGATGGAGTGCAACAGGCTGATGAGTGTGAGCAGAACTGTTTCTTCACAGCTCGTGCATATGTTGGTGCTCGCCAAGGCTGGTTTTATGATGAGTAATGGAATTGTAGAATAATACTGATGTACTTGTTCTGGGCTCTGCCAAATATGTGAAGTTTAAATAATTTTTGAGTAGACAAAATTGGGTTAAAGGAGCACAAAAGCTCAGACACCTCAAATAGATGCAGCGTATTGGTCATTGAGAGTAGATAGTGAAGTCTTGGATAAAAACAAGGAAACATTTGTAGTTTTCAGAGCTGAAGTGGGTGGAAATCAGTTGAGAAACAATGGAGAAGAAACAGGGAAGACAGCTTTTATTTGGTGTAGGGTTTTAACCTCTTCAGGTTTTGATTGGAGTTTGAAGTCTGAGCATAAGAGGTGCTGGTGGAGAGGCTGATGGGGATGACCTGGTCACTGATGCTGGATCAGCAGAGTAGCCTTTCCATCTCTGTTCACAAGTGACTCCAGGTACTCAGTTGAACAGCCATTTGTTTTAATTGGAATGCAGCAGTGGAAACATCTGTCACCAATGTGCTGGGAATATTTTTGAATGTACAGTGTAATTTATTATGTGTAAAGGAATGAAGTATGGAGGAACGTGTATTCACAGAGCCATATGCACCTTTACCACCAGAAGTGACATGTATTGTTACAAACCATTGTAACCCCACATCTTACACAGCTGTTATAGATCACTAAATTGCCTGCCAGAATGATTATTCTCTCTTCCAGAAGCATTTTGATGCTGATAAGCTCACTGTGTTGCCATGTTTTTGCTGTACTCAGATGACAGAGTTAGCACGGGACACTGTCAGTGCCCCGGCTGCTCCAGGCTCCGCCTTGCTCGACCACCAGCGGCAGCACCATTCAGAGTTCATGAAGCAGCTGAGGACCCGAGCTGATACAAACAGGTTTGGCTCGATGTTTCACATCTTGGGAGTGGGGAAGTAAGGTTTGTTAGGTTTTGCTTTACCTATTCTTGCAGCAAATGTTAAGATGTCATAATGAGTGAGCATTAAAGATGAACTTGGATTCCGTCTTTATGCCCTTAATAGTGTACACACACCAAAGGTGACATTAACTGGTTCTGTGAAACTCTACATAATAAGAGTAGAAAAAGATAATCTAAATGTTTTGTGGGATGATTTAACCTAGTTTAAGCTTTAGAAAATCTTTCAGCAGAAATTTTAGCTGTTACTACTTCTAGTAAAGTGATGAAAGCTCATGAAAATTGTATTACTCCTGTGTTTAAGACAATGCAAATTTACCCTAAATGCTTCTCATTTCCAGGAAATGTGAGTCTGGTGCCATACCACAAGGTAAAGAGGAGACAGGTGACTCAAAACAGATGTACTCACCAATGTTTGATAGTTACTCTGAGTCCTCGAGGTCAAAGGTTCATGATCAGAGGTAAGAAGCTTTTTGTGTCCTGTTCACTTACCTGATCTAGTTAGATCCCGTGAAATTTCTCACAGCCCTTCTCTGATCTTGAACTGGAAAAATGTTGTCCTCTGTAGTTCTCCTAACTTCTAAAACAGAATTTCTAACTTAGTCATTCTTCTAAAATCTGAAAGAAAATTTGTTTGCTTTTGTTTATCATCACTACTACTGCCAGGTAAAGGATGTGCATACCTTCAGACCACATGGATTTTAAATTGGAATAAAACCAACAATCAGTAGTTTGATGAAACTTGGAATTTTAAAGTAGCCAAACTGCATTTTGAAACCGAAACCAAACCCTCTGCATGTTGTTTATTGTTGTGATGTTAATCATGGTGTGTACAGTAGTAATGTAACATAAGTATTTTGAAATATGCAAAGTATTTTTAAAAACATAATCTCTGGATAACACAGTAGTACCAGCAGCCGCCAGGAGAGCCCTTCAGTTCCATCCTCTAAGGAGAATGAGAAAAAACTTTCCCGTCATGAGAAGACAGCCAGCAGTATTGAAGAGCAGGCTCAGACTGCTGCAGATGATTCCTTGCCCAGTGACAGTGTTTTGTCCCTGCCAGATGAAAAAGGTTGGCTCTGCTGCTGGTGTGTGATGGGTCTGAAGGTGGGGAGGGGGGAGGGAGGGAGGGTGGTGCTGTTTCAGAATGAATTTCTGAAATAAATGAGGGAAATTGTGTGAAGAAAGCTGAGTCCCAAGTGAATTGTAGTCTCTTAAGAGGTAACACAGAATGGCACAGTGAGATGGGAGCCTTTGATACTCTGCTTTGTTAGCTTAGCCACATGCTCATGTGCTGAACCTATAGGCACAGCAAATATTTCAGCGACTCCAGATGTTTATACCTGTATACACAAATCTGTTAGGTCTCTCAAAGCTGGATAATAGATGTTTTCTAACTCAAAATCACTGTTTGCTAAACACCCATTTTTCAACATTAGTTACCTCCCTGTCTTTCTGACCCCCCTAAAATTAGTGAGATGAGACAGGCTAAAATTGCATTCATGGTGCAAGACTGAGTGGAAAGCAGCTTCCCTGATTTCTCCCTCAGATTCTGCTTCCGTTGCAACAGAGTATTCCCTGAAATTTGATGAGTCCATGACAGAGGATGAGATTGAAGAAAAATCTTTTCGGTCTTTGCTGCCCTCTGAGAGTCATCGCAGAAATAATCTGGAGAAGAAGCGGGGCAGTCGTGATGATTCTGATGAGGAGGTGTCCCCAGACAAAACAGCTCTGTCATCTATCAAGGTAGATGAGGCAATCATATTTAAGTTAAATTAAATTAACTGAGCTGACATGGTTAAGCTGATAAGCTTCAAGTGAGCTGAGCTTGCAGGGTTGAGGATTCTTTTCCTCCCCGTGGTTCTCTGAGCATCTCAAAACAGGGATGTGTGAATCATGCTGTATGTCACTGTTGTTCAAGTGTGATGACTTATGAAACAATCCATCCAGGCCTTTACCTTGTGGCTTAGGAGGAGTGACTTTTTGAGGTAGGTTCTGAAAGTGGATTAAGTCCTCCAACTATACTAACACAGAGCTAGGAAATACAAGAGGTTGCTTCATCTCTCTGGCCAAAGTGGGGACCTCCCAAAACTGTCACACAGGGCAAAAATAGCTGGTCTGCACAGAGCTCAGAGAAAAAACAGCTTCCCTTCCTGCATCTGTTTTTGTGTATCTGTGTATATACACACACAGACATGCACTTTGTAATTGAAAAAAAACCATAGCATTTCTTGGGTTTTGTGCCAACTTTGTCTTCTAGGAGCTAAGCATGCCGTTCTCAGGGGGGCAAGACAGTTTCTCCAAGTTTACCATGGAGATGGTAAGACAGTACATGAAGGAGGAGGAAATGCGAGCAGCTCACCAGTCCTCACTCCTCCGGCTCCGGGAGAAGGCTCTCAAAGAGAAGACCAAGGCTGAGCTGGCATGGCTGGAACACCAGAAAAAGTAAGGCAGCTCTGAATATGCATAACTGCTGACTGACCTTTCCTTCTACTTTTCAAGGTTTTGTTTCCACCTTACCGCTCCCTTATTAAGTATTAATGGTTGAACTAATCTTCTGGCATCAGTATTCTGTACAGTTGTTACTGGGACTTGAGAAGAACAGGACCCAGTTTATAAACATGCTTTGATATTTACATTGAATGGGGCTTGATAGAGAATTTCACTGAAAGAGTGAAATTCTGGAAGAGCAGGTGTTTGTTGTCAGTTGGAGAAGGTAGTTGCCAACCATTCCTGTACACATCTTAATTCAGGAAGATATAGAACTGTCAAATAGTTTGACCTTTCTTTGCCTGATGTGTATCTGAAATCATTTGAGTTGACTCAGGCCACATTTTGTGAATCTTGATACATGTTGTGCTTAGTGATTTGTTTCCAATCTAAGATATGCTTTGTCCTGAAATCCACTAGAAGTACCCACTTGATACTAGTAAACAGCAGTGGCCAGATTTAATCAGTACCATTGTTCAACAGACATTTTCTTACAATTTTTTGTTATTGTGGATTTGACAAAGGAGTATTAGGTAATGAGCCAAGTGCCCTTCCTTTTATGTTTCACAAATGGTGAGTGTGCTACCTCTGCAGAGCTTCTGTCCATTCTTGTGTGAGTTACCTGCACTGGCCTTTTTGCTGTGCCTGTCTGACCAAACTATGCAAAATATTCCACCATAGAGCATGCCAAGGATTAAGGTGTATACTCTTCTGCAGATTAGGAAAAATAAACTTATTTTGTTTCACTTTAAAGAGTAAAAGGCCTGTCGTGCACTTTTTTCATATTACTTTATTATTATTTATTATTATGAAGTAATTTTAGTACTTTATGTTTCTTTCTTTCAATCTGTTTGCAGGCATTTGCGAGACAAAGGAGAGGATGATAAGATGCCTCCAATTCGAAAGAGGCAGCGTGGTCTGCTGCTGAGATTACAGCAGGAAAAGGTAAGGAATGCCCTCTAGGAAAGTCCTGTTGAAAGCCATGTGTACCCACTAAAGCTTTCAGACACTGTAAATACAGGAATGGAGAACCAGCAGTATTTCTTACCTGTGAGTTTTAATTTGCATTTCAGTCATACTCAGCACGTTGTTCTCGAGGGTCCTTCTCTATCTGTGATCTCATGATTGGGACTCTGAAGTATTAATTGATCTCCAGTTCTTTGCTGCTGAAGTTCAGCCTAGTTCCTTCCCCATGTAACTGCAGTCGTGTCAAACCCATAGCAGGGGCACTGTGGCAGCTTTGAGTGTGTTCTTGAGAGAGGTCTGGCAGTGTTCTCATGCTGAATCTTTTACACCTAAAAGGCAGAAATCAAACGTCTCCAGGAGGCAAACAAGGCTGCTCGGAAGGAGAGGCAGCTCATCCTTAAACAGCAGGCGGAAATCGAGCGAATCCGTCACACTACGATGAAGCTGCAGGAAAAACTGAAGTCTGCAGGAGAAAACAAGCTGGTGAGTGTTCAGCACAGGACCTGGAATCTTCCCTCTTCACCATGCAGCTTCAGTGTTTATAGGAATGGAAGGATACTAGATTGGACCTATCACTTGGAAGTTTTGTCTGCCTGAAGTGACCTCACCCCTTTATCTCAGCAATTTATGTTTAATTTCTTTAGAGCATCATTGAAGGAAATGCCTTTGGAGAAGTTACAAAATGTTTTAAACATGCAGTAGATGGTGTTTGTTCATTCTCAAGGTGAACTAATGACTTTGGGAATGTGAGTTTTTTGATGCTTACATGTCTCAGGCTTTGATTTTTGTTTGATTATTCGTCATGCCCAAAGTACTAAATATAAGCACTAACCCCAAAACTTCCTACTGTGTGTGTTAGGGTAGTTATGCTAGGTTTATTGTATCTACTTTACAAGGAAGCAAAATGAAGTTTTGGTAACTGGCTGTCTCCTTACAAAACTTTGAGAAGACACAAGTTTAATAGTCGTACTGTAGAAAAGGTTGATTTCCTGTTTGGGTAACTGAATTCTGGTGGTTCGTTGCTTTTGGGGACTTTTTATGATTTTTTTGGTTGGTTGGTTGATTGGGGTTTTGGGGGGGGGGGGTTAGGTTTTGTTTTGTTGTTGGCTTTTTTTTTGTGGGTTTTGGTTGTTTTTTTTTTTTTGTTCTGGATACAGTTAGGGGAAGACTTAAATTATGGAGACTTAAATTATGTACTACAAGCTGTGTGTCAAAAATGAGGTTATGAAGTTAAATCTGCAAGTGGACAGACTTATCTGAAGCAGTATTTCATGTAATCTAGAGATTACAGGCTAAATTTACACAAATTAACACAATTTTTAAAGGATTTTGGAATAGTCTTGTAATACTTCTTTTTTATTTTAACCCTTTAATTGCAGGAGCTTCCCAGTGAGGATGACATCAAGCAGAGCAATGGTTCCAGCCCACTTCCAACTGATGCAGAAACACGCAGCCCTTCCCCAATCTCCATCTCCAGCAGTGAGACCAGCAGCATTATGCAGAAACTTAAAAAAATGCGCAGCAGAATGGATGAAAAGTAACTATATTTTTTTTTTCCTTTTAAAAAATTTTGCTATTTTAGTGGAACAAGTTGGTTTGGCCCAAATATGCACTAAAAATGTCCATCAAAAATATTGGTGGTGTTGATACCACACTTTGATCTGAATTGCCTGAAAAACAGCTGATTGGAAGCATGAATAAAACTATATTAATCCTTGGACATAATAATTTAAAGGCTGCAGTTCTTGCATGATTCAAACATTATGGCAGACCATGTGGTCAAGGTTTTATTAAAGAAGATTTGGTTTAATATTCTTTGTACTTGATAGAGTTGGTAAAAGCACACCAGCTTAAGAGATGTTGATGTTTGTAGGTACAAGGAATATGGACAGGTTGTGGCTTCACAGCACATCCTGTCAGAGTTTCTTTTGCAATGAGAGACCTGAAGTCAAATGGTCAAAATGGTGCCTGTACTTTGTATCTCCCCTTTAACCTTAAAGAGTGAAAAAATATAGGGAGTGAGATTCTGGAATTGCAGTGCACATTTTTGAGTTGAAATGTAACTTATAACAGCAATTATGTTATGCAAAAACTAGTAACTGAGTTTCAGAGCTGGCTCACAGAAAGACACTGAGGTTGTCAGGTATGTGATTTCTGTCTAATTATCCAGCTGCTGAATTTTAATTCTGATTGCATTGAAATCAGCTAGGATTAACTCTTTAATTATTAATGGATATTATATGTATGTGGCTGAGAATATATTTGGTTAACAGGGTGGAAGAATGTTGAAAATGTTTGTTAGGTTCTAGAGGAAATAACAAAATCTGTGTGCAGTTCCTGTGTCTGAAAACCTAAAATGAATCTCCTGATTTTGCCTGTGAAGTTGTTTTAGATAAAAAATTGTTTCTGCATCATTTTGGTATAGGAATTACTTTGTGTGCATGAAACATCCCAAACACTTTACCTGCTTGTGCTCATTACTTTGAAGCCCTAAATTCTTATTTCAGACTAATTGATTGAAAGTCTGGCTTCTGCCAGTTGCCACAAGAAACAGTCTTTGCTTAAACAATTCTTTTGAGCTTAGAAGCACGACAGTCACTGCATTCAGTCCGTGTGGGTGATCTTTGGAATGTGTTTTCTCTTGAGACTCCAAACGCAGCTGGATAAAACATCCCAAAGCAAGCAGTGCCATGTAAAGGCCAGCTGTCCTTGACTCCTTGGCAGCCTGTTTGCTTGCAATCAATTTGAGAAGCACATTTCCCACCTATGCATGTGTTTGATTATGATGAAAATAAAACCCAACAGCAGTAAGGGAGGCTTTGGTGTGAGTACAGAAAACTCAAAACCTGTTGTGTAGTTTCATGGCCTTTGTGTCTAGCCTGACTTGGTTGCTGTTTTATTCTGACTCCTCTGGTGGCATCTGTTAAACTGAACAGCCAAAATCACTGATAATTAAAAGTTTCTGAGGTGTCATATTTCTAAAACTAAACTCATGGCATTCCAAACTGTATGAAAACCACCCCGTTATCATAGTGGCAAATTCTCAAAGTATTTTTTGAGACTGGTAAATGACTTAAGATAGAGACTTGAAAAGTGTGTGTGTTGTAGGCCATGCTGACTTCTAGGGTTTCAAGAAAGTAATGTTTTTCTTCTGATTTTTTGGCTTTGTTTTTTTTTGGGTTTTTTGGTTTTTTTTTTTTGTTTTTTTTTGTTAAAAGGGGGTCTTTATCTTACTTTTTCCCCAAAAACAAACTCAACAAATTTCAAATGGTGATAAAAAAACCAATCTGCTGCTTAGGAAGTTTGAGATACAGTATTAGTATTAAAAGAAGTGACAAATATACTTGTGTATTCAAGACTTCCTTTGCTACTTTTTATCAGCGAGTGGCTTTGTCAGTATTGTTCTCGAAATTTATTTTTTCAAAGTACATTCATTTCTAAGCCACACTTAAAATTGCATAAAGACTTATGTATTACAAGGAATAGTTGCAGATATAAAGTATGTTCTACCTTTAAAGATATTTTAGTCATGATTTGATTATTATTTTATGTGGTTGGAAATATTGCTCACCTGGAGAATACTTTTCAGAAGCTGGATACCAGGATTTGAGATGGAACAATTACTTTAAGCAGAACAAGTGGAAATTGTGTGTGATCTGTGTGGTCATGTGTTTTGGGTTTTCTGGTTTTAAAAGTCTTGGATTGTTTTATATGTTAAAAGAAGGAAGTATTTTGTGTAAGCATAAATGATTCTCTAAAACTTGATTTCCCTCTTGTACAGTTTTTGCACACCTCTGGCAGGTGTTTTGGTAGTGATAGCAGTGCTTATTGATTGAAACACAGTGCTGACTTGGTATCTTTTTGTTAATGCCTTGATTTGTAAAGCACATAAAAATAGCAGGAAGATGTTTGGTTTGGGGTGTAATGGTAGCAAGCTGCCATTTGAGGGGAATCAGGGTGGAAAACCTGATTCAGGGTGGAAAAGGGCTCAAGGGAAGAAGCTGAATGAACAATATAAAGGAACTAGAGAAAAGAACTGGGAAAGCCTGCTATGCTGGATTTGCTGTACTCCACAGCAAGGTGGAAATCCTTTGGCTTCCTTACTTAGGAGGCAGCTTTAATATTTGTCTTGTGCTAAAAGGGGAATGAATGAATGAATAATTCTGTTTTTATTTTTACTGATGAGTCTGTGTAGCCTGCATGTGAACAGGAGCATGCTCTGTCAAAGAGAATTAACCACTTTCCCCTGGCTTTCCTTGCATATGCAGCATTAATGATAATCTGTGCAATAACAAATTAAATGCTTATTTTCATTTGCTTTTCCTTAGTGTGCTTCTTAGCTTGCATTGTAGTTGATAGAGCTAAATGGAGCATGGTATTTTTCTATAAATTTGATAATTCATTAGGAATTAGCTTAAAATGGTAATAATTTTAAGAAATACCATTTTAGGCAGAGCTGTAAATTATGTAGATTTTTTAATACAATAGGTATTACCTTTTTGCAGTTAATACTTCAATGAAATATATGAGTATTCTGAGATCAAGTCTGTACTTCATTTCAAAAAATCCCTATTAGCAGCTATAATGTGAATGGCAGGTGTATCCGGAACTATCCATGTTTTAAAAGTTAACTATTTAATCTATTTTTCTTTGCTCTTTCACTGGTGCTTACCTTACTTTAGAAATAATTTTACTGAGGTTTCGCCAGGTGAAGAAAATGTGTTTAAAGTTTCAGACCAGGAAATTGTTGATATTGCAAAACCAGCATGCTCTTTAATACCAACAACACACTCCTTTGAGAGAATAGCATGAGAAGGGTCAGGCTGAGATATGTTAACTGGTGCCTGTGGAAATCTGCATCAAAGTAATAAAACTCTCCAAAATTTAAAGAAAAATACAGCAGTGTGAAAGTAGCTTGTCTTTCATTAACAGAAAACCAAGTGTTGCAAGTGTATGTTCTATAACCTTCTGCATAACAGTGTACAGTTTTTGTACTGCAGATGTTGGGTATTAACTATACAATGTTAAATGCAATTAATTTTAAAGTTCTTTGCCAGATGCTATCCTTTTCTCATTCTTTCTGCCTTAATTGCTATCTTAGTTTTAAACTCTTCCTCCTTATTTTGTAGACACTGCTCTCCTGTTCACTACTTCTTCTCTGTCTTTACGTCTCACCACTGGGCCTCTCTCAGTGTCTGTTTTCCCAACCTCCACCCCAAATTCCAGCTGTATATCTACAACCAATTGGTCAGGTAACTGTATATTTCTCCAGTGATAGACTCTTTGATAGAGCATGCTCTGTTCAGTCCTAGAAAGTCCAGAGGTTCTTCAGCAGTGGACATGGTTGACACTTGCCTCACTGTTTGCAGATCTTTATCAGTGGCGTAGGCAGGGGGATCACTCCACCCTCAGCACGAGGCTGAGCAGTGCAGGTGATATGCTGGAGGGAAGGAATGCCATCCAGGGGGACCTGGACAAGCTTGAGGAGCGGGCCAGGGTGACCCTCATGAAGGTCCACAAGGCCCTGCACCTGGATGAGGACAATCCCCACTAGCAGTTCAGCCTGGGGAGCGAGTGGATTGAGAGCAGTTCTTCAGAGAAGGACTTGGAGATGCTGATGGACTAAAAAATGGGGTATGACTCTGTAGTGTGCACTTGCAGCCCAGAAAACCAACTCAGTTTTGGGCTGCATGGAAGAACAGCAGGTCAAGGGAGATGGTTCTGCCCCTCTACTTCCACTCTGGTGAGACCCCACCTGCAGTCTGGTGTCCAGCTCTGGGGTCTCCAGTATGAGAAGGACATGAACCTGTAGGACCAGGTCCAGAGGAAGCTACAAAAAAAAATGAAAGAGAGGGAGCACCTTCCCTATGAAGAAAGGCAGAGAAAGTTGGGCTTGTTCAGTGTGGAGAAGAGAAGGCTCCAGAGAGACCTTATTGTGCATATACAGTGAGGTTATAAGAAAAATTGAGACAGGCTTACCAGGGGCTGTAGTGATAGGGCAAGGGGTAATGGTTTTAGGCTGAGAGAGGCTAGATCTAGATTAAATATAAGGAAGAAGTTCTTTGCTGTGAGGTTGGTGAAGCACTGGAACAACAACCTGTCCCATCCCTGGAAATGTTCAGGTCAGCTGGAACTTTGAGCAGCCTGGTCTAGCAAAAGGAGTCCCTGCCTATGGTAAAGGGGTGAAACTAGATGATCTTTAATGCCCCTTCCAACCCAAACCATTGCAGGATTCTAATCTCCTATTCCTACTATGTTCTGAGTGGCAAACAGACAGTTCACTTTGCTCCCACTGTCTGGTTGCCACTTCAGAATAGCTGCTGAAACCTCATTGTTTGGGCTTATAGTCAATATACCTTAAAATATGCAAATACAGTTTAAAGCAGCAGATTAATACTACTATTTGCAATGCATGGATAAAATGTGTGATGTTAGCAACAGAGAAATAGACTTTGAAGTCATGCTGCTGTAATCTGAGTGCTGCTGCTTCCTCATTGCTCCCCCACATTTCCAGCTGCATAGATGCCAGATGTGCTTTTGCAATTTTTTTTTCTGCTTTTGAGGATAAATGTGTACGCTTGGTGTTGCAACTGGAACCCTCTAGACTGCAGTAAATATTAAGGCAATGCATCTGCTATTTTGTGGCTCTGGCCTTTAAAACCCCGGGGTTATGACAGGGTCTGCATCTTTGGCCATGCTGCTTTGATCCTCCTCTTCTCGTGGGCTTTTTGTTGGAATCTTCTTTCTCTTCTATCACTTCTGTTGACTTATCTTTCTTATTTAGTAGTTCTTCTGTGATAATTATTTTCATGGCAATTTCATAATTCTCCTCCTGCTTGTGGTCTTCTGGGTTAATTCATTTGACATCTGCTTTTAAGGAGTCCTGGTCTTTTGAATCCATTTATTTCAGCCTTTCTCTGCATTTTATTTCAACTTGACGTGCCTCTCTCAGGACCCAGTAAACTGCAAAACTTCCTGATGAAATCAAACAGTAGGTGAAGAAAGAAGAAAAAGTTGCTTTTTGCATTGAGGTCATTGTAATAATGACCTCTAAAACAAGTTCCACATGCATGATCTGCTGGTCTAATTGGAAGTGATGTGTGTGTGAGAGTAAGAGTGGATAGATCTGACAGTGCTGCTGAAAGACAGAACATTATCATGACTGTCCCTGTCATGTTTGTAATGCAATTGCTGTTGGTAGTTTGCTCTGTTAATGACACCAGGCTGTCAGTTTAGCACAAGTGTAGATGATTGATGTTCGTCTATAGGAAGTGATAAAATTATGCACAAAGTCATGGAATCTGTCAGCTTGAAGGTGGCAGATGTTCAGAGGTTCTGAGGTGCTTCTGTTTTTCACCTCCTCTTGTTTTGACCATCAGACAGAAAATTGTGAGCGTCTCTAACTGGCTTCTGAAACTTTTCTCTTCATGTCATAACTTGCTCCCTTTGTCTGAATCTGTCTTAGAGAAGGACTTATCTGAATCTCAACCTTTCTGATCAACTGCCAGCTCACTTTTCCAGGGAACAGAACAAACTGAGTGAGCAAATGAGAAATTTCCCTTAGCAGGCAAGACCTGCACATTAGTCACTTGGCCATTCCAGACTCTGTAAATAAAAGGGTTTTTTGAAACATGAGAGATTAAAAAGTACAAATGAGATTATTATCTGCTTTGCAGCTTAAAAACGTTGATGCTAAGTGCTTGGGATGGCTTGAAAATTATAAGGACAGTTGCAAAAACAAAGTATCACAAGTCTTTGAAGTCTGCCTTCTACAGCACCAAAACTTCTGTACCAATGGCAAACTCTCTCTAGCTGGCAAACTATGGACCTTCTACAGAGTGATTCTGTGACATCTTAAAACTTTCAGTGTAGTAGATTAATAGATTGACAGACACTCTTCTCTAGACTTGGCATGCCAGAGGAAGTGTGTGCAATTGATGTTAAACTTGCTTCCAATTTACTGTCTGAAGGGTTAAGTGCTATGGTTACTTCAGTGCTCAGAAATGAGACAGGAGCTGGCAGTGAGAACAAGTGTGTGCACACAAACCTATTCATACCTACCAAATCCTGTGAGAGTTTTGTCAGTTCTAAGGTTTCATGGATCACTTAAGAGCTCTTTGTCAGAAAGAAAATATCTACGAATTTTCTGCATGAGCTTTAATTTTTATTTCTTCTTAAACTACCAGCCAGATACGTTAGTAGCTGGGAAGAAACATACTGGCATCATTATTCTCTTGATGCTGTCAGCTCACAATTAACATTCCAAGTGTACCAGTCCATAGAGATGATGCTTAAAGGAAGAAGGATTAAAGTTCCAGGAGGACTATTAATATAGAATCATCTTCTCTTATAATAGCATATTTAGAAAAAAACCATGGGGCAACTGAGGTTACAATTTTTCTGTTACTGGGATTAACAAAAAAGGAAAGTTCATTTTTCAAACAGTCACGGCTTTCTAGAAGGTTCCAGTTTAATACCACAGGTACATTTCATGTCCTGAAATTGGGAACTTTTTTCTGTTTAGTTTAGTGCATATGATTTTAATGATTTTGAAGATTTTTTTAGATATAAACAGCCTCTTTACAGTATGATGTAGACATTACTTCCTGCAGAGAAAAGAACCCTTGTCTACTTGTGGGGTTTTTGCAGCAGCACATCAGAAGTCTGGGATATAGCAGTTATTGTGGCTATTATCCTAGAAAACAGACTGAACAACTGCAATTCTGGGAATGGTGGCAGTGGAGCATCTGGGTACTGGGAGCTCAGTGTGGCTGGCTGGTGTGGCATTGTCCTGTGCTCTGCCTGTCAGGTTCCTGACCAAGCGGGAGCAGAAGCTGATGCAGCGCCGACAGCACGCGGAGGAACTGCTGGAGTGGAAACGGCGCCTGGATGCCGAGGAGGCAGAAATACGGAGGATGGAAAAGCAAGCTCTGGCTGCCTGGGACAAAGAGCTGCTCAAAAGCAAGATAGCCAAGAAAGAGCTGGGGGATCAGAGAGCTGAGCCCAAAGGTATTGGGAACTGGGGAGAAGTGACACATATGATAAGAGAGAAGGATTGCGTAGGTTTGCAGTTGTTTCCTTTTCTGATATTTTGGTTGCTTCCTGGACACTCTTGGAATCTGAGTTTCTGCACTCTGTTGTCTGTTTTACACCATAGTTAAGTGTGTGTTTCTCCTTTGCTAGGTATCCTCCCAAGTGAACAGTGCAGCATAAGCCCATCAGTCACTTCTATGTACAATTTTTAAACTGTATTTCTGTCTTTCAAAGTAAAAATATTGCAGTATGCTATGATTGTAGCAACGTATCTGAACAGCTTAGACTACAAGGTGCATGAGCCATTTCACTTGGTACTGTTCTTACCAGGATTTTCTCAGGGCCCTCTGGAATTCATCAAAGTTACTAAGACATAAACTGTGCTGGAATAACAAGGAAGAAGCTGCGAAACCAAATTGCAAAACCACGAGAACTCGATAACAGGGGGCAGCAAAACACCTGGACTGTAACCAATCACATAATTTGAGAAGTGCATGCAAAACACATCAACAAGCAAAGGCACCAATAAGAAATACATGATCAGCCTGGGCAGTTGAGTTAGAATGTATAAATAAGTGCATAATGTAAACAATAAACAGCTTCTACTTAATCATATTAGTTAATTGTCCAGGAGTCCTGAATTTCCCACACATGCTCTTTTGCTGGTAGTCTTCTGAATTTACTCTGTTAAAATAATTTTCCCCAGTGGTGAGCAAAGTGTCTCTGCTTGTTAGCTTTCGTACTAGTATTGGTGAGGATGGCTTCTGTCAGGGGCTGCTTTACCATTGTCTGAGTTTTCAAAAAATTGAAATAATTTTTTCTTCCCTCCTTTGTTAATGCCACCTGTTTGAAATGTGTACCTGAGGCAAAGTATGCTAGGATGTAATTAGCATAAATGATGCTATTGTGAGGAAAAATTGAATTCCCAGATGTTGGAAGCCAGAACTTTACAGTTCTGTCTTAAGTGGATCATGCTGAAGCACAGGGAACTGAATTGCAGTGAGAGAAAGTGATTTCAGGGATTGTTCTAAAAACATACCTATTTTTCTTTTTTTTCCCCACTTTACTGAAAGTAGGCAGCACATCCTTTGAGTGTGCAGAGGGAATTCAGAGTAATGCCCTATTGCAGTTGTTAATGAAAGCAGTCATGTGGATTTTAGGCATTGTAAGACATTTTAAAGATGATGTGTGTATGGGTCTGTAAGTTCCCATGAACAAAAATTCAGCACAGATGTTGAATTCTTATCAATAAGTGAAAACTGATTGTATCTGTCAGTAAACATTGGAGCACAGCCCTGCTTCAGAAGGAAAAGTCCTTCTCCCCAGCCTTTACTCAAAGACTGAATAGTTCTCCATGGCTGCCTAGTAATGCCATGACTCCTGCAGAATTTAGTAAACAGGAATATTGGAAACCCAAATTATTATTTTGTTTGTTGCCATTTAAGAGACTCATGATGAAATCATAACATTAAAATGTTTTCTGCAAGTACTGTAAAGGAAGCAATCAATTCTAAATTCAAGATCTGGCCTGCAGATTATATGCTCTTCCATGACTTCTTCAGACTAATAGTGACTCTTGCTTCTGTATGGTCAACTGGAAGGACAGGTTTCCCTAATCATCTTTTTGGGGTGTGTTGTCTGGAAAATGCTGGAATATCCTGAAAACCTCTTTATTTTAGATATTTAGCAATCACTGAGAAGGCTGGGCAGTTCTCACAGATGCACAGAATCATTTGGATTGGAAAAGGCCTCGTGAGATCATAAAGTCCAACCTCTTACTGATACCACCTTATCAACTAGACCAGGGCACTAAGTGCCACATCCAGTTGTTTCTTGAACACAAATAATGCTTTAAATCATACTTCTCTGGTAAACAGGCTTGTTCTTGCTAAATATTTCCCCACCAGTGTCTAGGTGAGTGAAATAATGCTTGTTTGACAGGTACTGATAGCAGTTACTACTTCATCTGCAGACTGCTTAGAAAGTTTTCCTTCAACCTTATGCCTTCAGCCTTATATGCCCTCAGCTTCTGCATATAAGATGGTTCTGATGTGCTTTATTTTTTCTCTCATTGAATCTCAGAAACAGCTAGTGAGGAAGAGTCTCCAGTGCCTTCTTGTTCTCATCTGAATAGTGAAAGCTCTATTCCAGAAGATCTTGGCAGTCTGGCTGCTGAGTCTGTCCCATCAGAGCCCATGAGCCATGGACAGCCAGAAAGCCCAGATCAGAGTACAATTAATGAAGAAATGGCTTATTCTGAAGATTTCAAGTCCTCAACATCACCTGGCAAACTGGTGAGTGAGCTGCTCTGCCTTTTGTACTCTTACACACTATCAGAGAAGTGGCAAGTACAGCCATCCCAGTTGTCAAAGGAGATATTACACTATTAACTAAATCTGTTTTCTGTGTTTATGATACCATTTCACATTACCATGAGTCATCATTGTGATCAGATGTGTGTTTTGAAGTCTTGAGGAAATATTGTTTCCACACAGAGTTTAGATATTTTTTAAATTGTGGGTAGTCTTGCAAAACATTTTACGTATGTCACGTAGGTATGCAGTGCTAAGTGGTGGAATACTGACCCAGTTTAGCAGTGTGTATTAGCTGTAGGCTAGCTTGTTGCCATTGTATAAATTCTTTGAGGCCATGGAAGCTATGCTCTGTTTTTCCACTTTGCCTTATTTGCAAGTAATGTATCCCAAAGTGTAGCTGTAGGATGAAGAAGCAGACCTGAAACCTCATGCACAGTCCTTTGGGTTTGTGTCTGCTTGCTGCTTAATTCTGCCTTATTGTTCTATTCCAATTGTTATTTCTAGTTGGATGATAATTTTAATGAGTTTCATCCTGATAACTTTGCCCTGTGCTCAATAAGACAGAAAATTCTGTGTCTGTGGGATAAAAGAACTGCTTATCTAGACTTATTGCAAATACTTTTGTGGCAGATTTGCTGAGTAGATAATAATAAAATGTCTAATGTGTGCCAGAGATTATGTGCAATGTGTGTTAAAGGTTTGTAATAATATTGAAGCATTAAGCAGCGTTTTAGAACAAAGTTTGCTCTTTGAGTTTTTGCCTGACCTCAGAAAAATAGTGCTCTGTTGTTTCACTGATTCAGAATGTTGTCTTGCACCCTTTACATGAAGTGGTTAATTTTATTAGTTTATTTACTAGGAGTTCCTATTGCTGCAGATGACACAAATGTATTGAACACATGTGAGTCAGAGCCATGTCAGTTCACTTAGGTGGTGGTAGAGTAGTCTAAGCAGGTTTATTGAAATCCAGGCTCAAAGTAAGCAGGCAGTTGTTGCTGCTCTTGTTATTAGTGTTTTATTGTCTAGAAAATACTAAATTCTTCTTAAGATTGTTGTATAGGTACCACTGTTTGAGATGTCCTCTTGTCCTGCTGTTCTTTCCTTGTAAGTGGCTCCTGATGACAGTGATCTTTTACTTTCAAACTGCAATTACTTATTTATCCTTTTCTCTCCCAGTCTCCTCCCAAAAGCAGTGTATCTGTGTCAAAGCAAGACTCCAGCAAAGGCAGCCACAGGACTGGAGGACAGCTACATTCACCTGTGAAGTCCCACCAGACATCTCACAACTGGTCTGATGAATCTTTATCTATGACACAGTCAGGTAAGTGTAATACCCACTTGGGTTTATATTGCTTTTTCAAAGCTTTTGCTTTTAACAAACTTAAAATGCAGACACAGATGTGGAGAGGCAGACAAATTCCTGGAAACAGCCAAGGTTGGGGTTGGTGGCTGTATTTTCCCATTATGTAATATGATCTCTTCAGCTGAAGAAAATCTTAATTTAAGAAGGTTTATACTTTATAACCTCTTGTAGAAAGCAGTACAGGTTCTGCAAACACATGTGAAGAAGATAAGAGTCAATAGTGAAGGTGGTCCTAGGATTTAAAAATCCCTCTTTCTGCACCCAACTTCAGAAGCAGAACAGCTCTGTTACATGGCTGTATAGGGGAGAGACCTTTGGGGCTGCTCTGCCATGTGCAGAATCAATGGATGCTTCAGGACATAGGGGAGGAGGGTTTGGATTGTGTGCAGTAAAATAGGGCCTAAGGTGGCATTTTGAGCTATAAAATCTCCTGTATGGACTCATGCCCTTTATCCAGTACCCAAGCTGCCTGCCAGTAAATGCTTGGGGGAGGAATACTGGAAGTGAAGTGGTTCAGAGCAGCCCTTTCCCTGCTGTGCTCTCAGTGATGTGGAGTGCAGGGATTCCTGAGCTCCATGCATTGGGTCACCATCATCCACTCTGTTTGCTTTGCCTGGGAAGCCTTTTTTGACTCTTTCCATGCTTTTAGTCTCTAGAACATCTTGTTTTCCACAGTACAATTGATAGAGCACCACACAATATTTGTTAGCAAATGATATAGCATTTTCCTTCTCGGGGTTTTTTATGGTAAGTCTTCAGTGGAAAAAGAATTAGCAGGTTCTCTTGTGTGTATTAGCTGTTGTTTGTGATGGTTGGTAACTTACTGTGAGAAACACCTACACATTTGCACTGAGTAATCTATGTTGGGATTCTGTTTGGAGAGCAGTTTCCAACACAGTGAAGCTTTCAGCACCTTGATAAAGTTATTTTAAAACTCTGATTCAGCAGTCACATAAGGAAGCCATTATGAAATGTAGAGCAGTCAACAGTGATCACAAAAATAAGTCTTAAAACAAAATATTGACAGTCTTTAATTTCAAATTCTAAAGAAAGGTATAAGAGGTGGGAAGCTGATCAGGATGGTGCTGGTTTCACAATCATTCCATTGTAAAGAGACAAATGTTCTGGCCTGCTGACTAACAATGAAGTCATTGCCCTGTCAGTCTGATGCACGCGTAGACAAGGTTGTCAAAGATGAAAGCATGTGCAGATCTTTCCCTTATGAGTTGATCAAGAAATGCTATAATTACATACTGGTCACTTACTGTCAGGGAGGAGCTGTTAATTACAGTGGCATCACAAAGTGCTCCTGATTAGCAAGTGAGATTCCATTCTTTTTATTTGGGTTTTGGGTTTTTAAAAATTCCTCAAATTATTAACAACAGTTGTTAATGCAAAAAGAATACAGTAGCTTGATTGTATTTACTGGCTGTTGCTAAGAATGGAATCTTTCATTATGGTGGTTTGCTATGTTCAGAAAGGAAATGAATTGGGGAAATGTCAGCTGCTCCTGCTAGCTGACCAAAGCATATTGATAACTGACTTTCTAAACTACCAAGTAAAGTAATCAGCATTACTTTACCCAGAAAACACTACAGGTGATACTAAGCATTAGAAAAAAAACAAACCAGCCAAAATCCTCCTCTTGGGAGCTGCAGCTATAGAAGAGGAAGGGGCAAATCAGCTCAGGGAGGAGCCCCAGTAAGGCTATGTCAGGTAGTACTTTGAAGAGTTTTTGATAGTTAATTGTGGCAGCAGCATCTGGGACAAGGATCTTGTTTTGCCCTATGTTGGTATACATTTAAAGCAAGAAACAAGTGGACATGGTCAGGTGGGTAGAAAAGGAGGAAATAAGGAAAGCTGTTACAGCAGAAATAAGAAAATCAGCAGAGTTATTGGTAGAATTGGGTTACCATGCAGAGACTAGATCTGAGTATCTGGGGACAGTGACAATCTCTGCATTGTTCAAATTGACTTCCCTTCCAGCTGCTGGCCAGTCAGCTCTGTATTTTATAGATATATTTAGTCTAGGTTTGAAGTACACTGTCCCAAGTGACATTCTCATCAATGAAGTGTACTGTGCAACTTGAAACTCTGTATTATAATTTTAAACCTATATTTCAGATATATTTTTGGTGTGCAGCTCCAAATTGTATTTTTAAATATAAAAAGTTAATTTCTGCAATACCCAACATGACAAGCAGCTAATGTTGAAGAGCATAAATGTGTGGTTGGTGTGAATGAACTTGGTAACAAGTTGTTGTATCAGAGCCTGTCTCTTTTAAATTAAGCAAGATGCAACACCTTTTTGTATCTTTCACACGTAGTAGTGAACCTGAAATCCCACCTTAAGAGTCTTGCTATGTTAAATAATACATTGGCATTACATTCTTTGACATTTTTCTTGGACTGTATTTTGTAATTAGTGAATGACTGTTTATTGCTTTGCTCAGAATTGTTTTGTGAGGTGCAAATTTGTAAAGAATAAAACTAAACTTTTTCAGAAACCACCTCTGATCAAAGTGACATCGAAGGACGCATCAGGGCCCTGAAGGATGAGCTACGGAAAAGGAAATCTGTGGTGTACCAGCTGAAAAAGGAGCAGAAAAAGAGACAAAAGGAGAGACTGAAGGCCCAGGAAGCCAGTTTGATCAAACAGCTGGAGGTTAGGAACAGAAGAAAGAAGGGCAAAGTAACAGATTGTTAGCCTTAGATAGATCTTGGTAGTGTGGACTTTGTTGGCAAAATATTGTATCAACAGCTGTGAAAGACAAATTGTTGTGATAGAAGTGTGACTATTACACAGTCACAGAACAGTTTGGGTTGGAAAGGACCTTGAAAATCCTTTCATTCCAGCCCCCCTGCCATGAGTAGGGACACCTTCCACTAGACCAGGCTGCTCAAAGCCCCATCCAACCTGGCTGTTTAACCATTTCCAGTCATGAGCCAGAGCTTTGAGGCAAAAATGCCATTCCCTTTTAAAATGTGTGTCTGTAATGGCTTGCTGGCAGCATTCTGGGGGTTGTGTATGTTTATACACATTACTGTCCTAGCTGGGATTAAAGATCAGTGCTCATGTAATTTGGTTTTGGAAATAAAGTACTGAAATTTCTAGGATTGCAGCTGTAGATTTTGGAAAAGTTAAATAGATTGGTTGATAGAGAAAGTGGGTGTATTCTTTATTCACTCACTGTGTTTTGATTGTTGAATTGTAGTTATGGTTTAGTGTATTAACAGCTGGAATTGTTTTTCGTGTGCAGTCATACGACGAGTTTATCAAGAAGACTGAAGCAGAGCTGAGCCAAGATCTGGAGGCATCACCAACAGCCAAACCTCAGATCAAAACTCCATCCTCAGCTGCTGCTGAAAAACCTAAGATCAAGGCACCACCACTCCATAGGTAGCTGGAATTTCTCCTTCTTTTTGAGATTATTTTGGAGCTGGTTGCTGTTTTAGCCAAAACCATGGATGTAAGGAAAGCTGCTAACTTCTGTGCCTTAAAGCACTGGACATTGTCAGTATCCAACTGACCTATTTGCTGCTGTCACCAGACCCAAAACAGATAAGATTTACCATGTTTGTAATCTTACGCACCTCACTGTTCTCCTGCCCAGCCTTTCAGGCTCTAGTTTCAATTTTTAAAATAATAATAACTTTCTGTTGTGCAAGAATTCTGCCAGATACTGTGCATGGATTATTAGCCTTCAGGCTTTTTTCTTTTCCATTTTGGTAAGTTGTTTTGTCCACTGCACTGTGTAAGGCAAGCCATTCATCTTTGCAACTTAAATCTGTTTTAAATCTTAGGTTTTAAAGAGTAGAGAATTCACCTGATCTTCTGCACTTCCTACTGTATTTTTAAGCATTAATTTTCTCCAGCAGATGGTGCAATTTTAGTGCATTCAAATTAAAAAAATAACAGAAACCACCCAACTTTTTTCTCTCCCCCCCTTTTTTTTTTTCCTGGAAAGAGATAAAGTTTGATTAGTCTTTTTAAAAAATTAATTTCCAGGACTCTCCAGACTCTCCTCTGTCCCCATTCCCATTTCCTAAGGCTGTAGTATGTTGACAAAGCAAACTGCTTATGTTATAATTATAAAGCCACATTGGTGTGGTGTTACAATTGTACATGCCTGTATTTCCTTTTTTATCTATTAAAGAAAACCAAGCAAACATCGCCCACTGCTGTAACTGTAATTCATGCAATTTGATTTTTCCAATTTAGGCCTGAGACAGCTAAAAACTGGAAATCACTGACTGAGTCAGAGAGATCCAGAGCATCTTTGGAATCTGTTTCAGAACATGCAGGTAGGTAACTGGAAGAATCCATACTACAACTTAAGATCTTGAAGACTGACTGTTTTAAAATTCTTGAACCTTCTCCTTCTTGATTTACAATGAGGTTTTAAGAGAGGATGGAGACTCCATAAAATGGTAGTGATGGAGCTGTATATTTTGCAGTTTTATTTATTGTATTTTTTGCAGGACTGTGCTTTTGCAGAATACCCTGTGTATTCAGTATTTAGTTTACTCTTTCTGAGGTGTGTATGAAACCATAATTAAGTGACAACCTTTTTAGTTTCTTTTGTTTCTTGTTCCTTTACTGCTTGAGTTCAGATACTTTTCACTGTTTTGCAGTTGATGATTATCTCATTATCTCCCCTTCTAATCTTCATTGTATTTGTGGCTTGCAAACAAATAACTGAGTCCTTACCTTGGGGTGCTGGTTAAAGGAACAGAAGTAGGAAGAAAGCTTTATAACCCTGGAACTGAATGGAAGTTGCTCATGTTCATAGGACAGCCAGAAGTATATGTTTCCAAGGCACCAGTTTGTATCTTCTTTTAATACAGAAACCTTGATATTAATTTAGTTGCCTTTGATTGCAGTTTGCAGTAAAACAATATGGGTTATACAGTCTGCTGAAATTAACTTTTTATTTTCCTTCAAGATGCTGTGTCATCAAGAACCGAGAGATCTGTGTCTGTGCACTCCAAGAAGGTGGCTGTGACAGCTGTGCATGCAGGAGAACCTTCTGGAACCCCTTCCTTGGCTTCAGTGTTACCAAAGAGTTCCAGAGCAGGATCTGGTGATTCCTCAGATAGCTCTTCAGCTCTTCTTAAAGATATGAAAGACATTAGCAGGAGTCTTGAATCAGTGAACAAAGTGGTAAATGCATCCAGTGCTGGTCCTATCATTAGCTATAAATCTGAGATTACAGAAGACCTGGAATACATAAAGTCAGAGGAATATGAGAATGGAGGTTCTGATGTTAAGCCTGTGGAGAGTTCCGATGTCTTGCTGACGTTAGATGAAGGACGGGAGAGTTCACTGGATCACTGCTCTGAAAACAAACTCTCTCAGAAGGAACTGTTAGATGTAGCTGTGGAAAGTCTTCATGATACAGAAGAAATCTTAGAACAGAGACAGTCAAATAAAGATGCTGTAAGTGGCCCAAGCGTAGAGGAGACTTCTCACAAACTCAGCAAATCTGCAGAGGAGAAAGGTGATCTGCTTTCTGAACAGCTCTTGAGTCAAAAAGAACCATCGTACCCTGAAGACTTTGAAGAATCTTCTTCCAGAAAACAAGCTTCAGCTGAAGAAACACTGCCTGGGGAACGCTACAGAGATGACTTTGAGGGTTCCCTGCTCTCTGCTAACGGGAAGTCCCTGAGGGATCAGTCCCAGCACCCCCAGTTCAGCCGGAGCAGATCCACCAGCCTGGGCAGCGATGGTGAAATCAGTGAGTGCCTCAGTGACAGGTCTCTCTCTGGCAGCATGCACTCAGAGAGACTGCTGGAACTTAAGTCCCCAACAGAACTTATGAAAAATGCTGAACGCAGAGATGTGGAGCAAGAACAGGCCCCAGCTTGTTCACCACTGTGGGCCTCGGCTTCAATCACAGAAGAAGCAGATAGTTTGTCCAATTTCAACATTGGAGACAGAGTACTTGTGAGTAAAGTCCAGCCTGGAACACTGCGGTTCAAAGGGCTTACTAAATTTGCCAAAGGGTTTTGGGCTGGTGTTGAGTTGGATAAACCTGAAGGGAACAACAATGGAACTTATGATGATATTAAATATTTTGATTGCAGAGAAAAGCATGGTATTTTTGCTCCTCCTCAGAAAATCTCTCACATTACAGAAAGTATCGATAGCCACTTAGACACAAAAAAGGATGATGAAGACTCATTCTTTGATGATAAACTGGAGAAACAACACAAAGCTGAGCAGAAAGATAGAGAAAGTTCCAAACCTGGCAAAGAAGCTGAAAGCCAGAGCAGAAATGCAACAGAGAACTACTCCCAGGATAAAGCTCCTGTGGACACAGCTGTTTCAGAAGCCTCAGCTGAGGAAAGGGTTGAAGAGGAGTTGTCATCTAAAGCAAACAGCATAGAAGAGATTTCTGTAGCTGCTGGTTCATTTGCCCAAGAACAATCAGTGGTGGATTACCTGAAGGATGCTGTAAAAGAGGAAGCCAGCCACACTCCTCTCACTTCTAGTGTTGTGGATGAGATTTCCACTGTTCAGTTGGATGACATGTCAGATTTCCTTTCTGAAAAACTGGAGAGGCAGAAGACACTGGGAGAGGAATGTGCTGAAAAGTTAGATGATCTCTCTCCTGGTGTCATGGAGAAGTCTGCAACCCCACTGCTGGATTTGCTGACAAAAGAAAAGAACCAGTTAGAAGCACAGCTCAGCCTGCCTCTTAGAGAGGAAGAAAAGTCAAAAGACCAGCTGGAAAAGGTCAGTTTGCTGACAGACAGTCTACTAAGAGATTTTGTGAAAGACACAGTCAATCAGTTACAGCAAATAAAGAAGATCAAAAATGAGAAAATCCAGCTCAGCAACCAGGAGCTCTGTGATGTGAAGGAGGAAGCCACTACTCCACCCCAGCAGGTGGAAAAGCAGATTCCAGATGGACTGAGTAACTTCTTCCTAAGTTCTGATTTGGAAGATGACAGAGAAGAGCTTTCCTCTCCAGACATGTGTCCCAGACCGGTGAGTAGCAGACACCTTGCACTGATTTTAAGAGTTGATTCTGCCTTTGACTGGGGACGATTAAATCAGGAATGTGGTGTGGCACCAGTTTTTCTCCCAGTTTCTGTTGATAATGTGGAGATTGTGTTCTGTATGTGTCTCATACATTTTTGTGTATCCCAGTGCATGGCTTGTTTTGGTAGCCATTTATTGCCAACTGCCTCAGTAAAGCATTTAAAAATGTGAGCTGAGGGACACAACGGTGTGACACCACTGTGACATTTACTCTGTGGCTCTTGATCCGCAGGAGAGTCCCGTGTTCGGTGCCAGTGGCCAGGAGGAGCTTGCCAAGAGACTGGCAGAGCTGGAGCTCAACCGGGAGTTCCTGAGTGTGCTGGGAGATGATCAAGACTGGTTTGATGAGGACTATGGCCTGAGTTCCCGTAAGCTGCAGCAGAAGCAAGCTGAGGAGCCAGCAGTGCTGCCCCTGGCAGAGCCACAGAAAGTGCCCACCAAGCCGAGCGAGGAGCCCCTGGCGGTCCCTCACTCTGCGGTGGAGGTGGAAGGGATGGTGCATGCAGCAGCTGAGGAACTCTGGAAACTGAAAGAGCTGGGTCATGATCTTCAAAGCTGCAGCCTTAAAACAGATCTTAGTGGTACCCTCCAAGAGCAGGACACAGACACCATAAACAAGCAGGTTTATAGAAAGGTACAATCTTCAGGCATTTTGGTCTTGCCCTCTGAAAGTTTATCATGGACAAAAAAAGCCATAACCTTTACTTCTTCCTTTGTTCAGGTGGTATTTGATTTAACAAGAGAGATCTTTGGGGAAATCTTTGCTGAAGATCCTAATCTGAATCAGCCCATTTGGATGAAACCGTGTAGGATTGCATCTGCTTATTTTCGTCGAGTCAAAGATCCAAATGATCTGGATGAAATCAAGGTAGGATGAAATCTTTGTTGAGCAGGGAAGATAAGATGAAAAACACTGAACTGGCATTTACCTGACTGTTAGAAGATAGTAAGAGGTGTATCCAGCAAGAGATGAGTTGAGAAAAGGAAGATTACCAACCTGAAAGAAAACTTGTCAGAATGGTCCTTTTCCACTCAACAGATTGGCCTCCCTGTCCTTATGACTGTTATGGTTGTTTTTAAACCTCAGTCCTCTGTGCAGAACTGCCAGGGTGACCTTGCTCTTATAAAATTATAAAATTGGTGTACTGACAGCCTGCTGCTGTAGCAGATTTCTGTATGGCTGAATTGGAATGGATCCAACGGTAGGGTTGGGCCAAATGGGATGAGCTACATTTTTCACTCAGACATGCACACACCTATACCAGCCTCTCTGAGGACAGCAGGAGTTGCCCAGAGGATCCCAAAATTTGACTAGTGAGGATCTTGTCGTATTTGACAAGCCAGAGGAGGCCCCCATGTTATTGGTGGTAGTGCTCAAGGAACAACAAAATCACAGAGCCTGGGGGACAAACGAGAGCCTGACTGGATCTAGGTTAAATTTGCAGGGCTGCACATTGGGAAAAAACCTGTCTCCCTTAAAGCCCTCCACAAAGAACCTTCCATATGGCTCATCAGGACGCAAATGAAAACTTTCCTCTGCACTGTTTCTTCTGAAATTGAGGGAGTTGACTAAATTTTGATTAACCTGCTGAAGATACAGCGTGTTAACTGTCCAGGAAAGCAAAGAAAATAAAGAAATAGTATCTAAATCACTCTGTTAGTTGAGAAGACTTTCAAAAGCATGTGGCTGGGGACAGCAGGGACACAGGACAAGGACACCAAATTCCCACCCTGCTTTTCTTTAATATTTTCCCATAAAACAAATTGTCAGAATCCTCTTTGTGTAGCGTTGAAAGTGTCTGTTCTCAAGGTTGAAACAGCAGTGGGTGTCTTGTTTTCCCCCCCACTTCTGGGTTTGATAATTGTCCTGCCAAGCTGATGTGAATTCTATAGTGTGACTTTTTTATGGGAGCTGCTTTGTGCATACCTTTAATTTCTTAGCTCAAGTGTGATAAATCTCACCTTTTCTGTTCTGTAGAACTTCATTGCAGCTGAAGTACTGAAGTTGTTCAGCCTGAGGAAAGAGCCTAACCACAAAACAGACTGGCAGAAGATGATGAAATTTGGGCGGAAGAAACGAGACCGGGTGGATCACATACTGGTAAGTGGATGAAAACAGTCTTGTCAGATACTGTCCCACCAGACTGAAGTGTGGCATATTAATGTATTTTCAGTATTCATTCATGCTGAATACAAAAATACAAAGTGTACATGAGGTGTCAGAAGTCCAGTGCCAGTGAGGGAAGGTGACTTGAGTTAATTCTGCCTACTCATTTGACTGCAGTATAAATTCACTCACTCCCAAAAAGTTTAAAGCATGAATTTCCAGAAGGAAACAATTAAATATTTGACTGAGAGTAAACTTTTTCTTTGAGATGGGAATATGTTTTTCCTCTTACTTTAATATAAAATGTTTTTATTTTGAAGTAATATTATTTAATTTGAGACAGTGATATGGACAATGTAATTAAACTAATGAATGCAACTGCCAGTGGGGAAGGTGCAGTGTTAAAACTGCCCACGATGGAGCATGTCTGGCTGTGTACAGTTTTTGAAAGTTATTTTGTTGTCTTGTATTGCCATGTTAACATCTTTATTGGCTATAATGATAGTGAAGGTTCTGCTTGGGAATATGAGTCGTCATTAGCACTGCTTCACTTAATTACACCTGGAATTGATTCCACACAACAAGCACATACGAGTAATTTGGAGTTGTGGGTCGTGTGGTCTTTTAATTGCCCATCACTGGAGGGTTTCCAACACAGGGGTTTAATTGTATGTAAATAGAATTTCTATTTATAGATCCAAACACATCCTGATGCACTTGATTCTGGGATCTAGATGTTGTTAAAGCATGCACAAAAAAGTTCTGTGTTTAGATCTCCAGGGGAACTAATATTACAGCTATTATGCATGTGTACCAACTTACTAATTTTTTTGCAACGTAGATAGCCAGAAAGAAAGATTCCTGGAAACATTTATTCTAGTTGAAGGCATCCAGAATGCTTCAGGTGATGTTTGAAGTCAACCTTAAAATGAAAACATCCCTTCACAGTTTTCTGCTGAGACAATTGTGTATTTTAGTGATATTGAGAACTGTCCAGTTCTGTCTGACCCAGGAGCTGGGCATGACTTTCACTTCTTCTGTAGGCACAGAAACAAGTGCCAGGCTGTTTGATTGAACTTACTCTCTCCCTGATTATGCCTGGATACACTGTTCTGGGTTTATCATATTAAACTCAGTTCCCAGTGGAATGTTCATCCCTGTGGGAAGGGGCACAGCAGGAGAAGCAGCACTGGTGATCTCTGTGACACTGGGACCTGTAGGTTGGCCATCACACCTCCTGGGGACAAAAGGGAGAGCAGGATGGATTAATCCTTTGCCTCCTTGCTCTGCCTTGAGCTTTGCAGCTTCCTCCAATCACTGCACTTCTAGTTGCATTTTCACTTTGGTCTGTGCTTTCCCAGCGTTGACACCAACGTAGTGAGTCGTGTTTTAGTGCCAATGACAAAAGAGCATCTTCCTCTTCTCCTTTTTGCAGCGTTCTTTTTGTCTTCAATCAGGCATCTCTGTCCTCAGAAAAGAATTTATATTGGGATTCTTCAGGGATCCCTCTGATATGCTGGATATTGGCTCCAGTTACTAACATTTACAGCAAATCTTGACTTACAATAAACAAGTACAGGAGTTCACATTTATGAAAACCTACTTTGTTTAAAATCAAGTTAAAGGAATGTCTAAGTATTTGTGTTCTTCCCCTTTTGTCCATTCATGTTGTTCCTTTATCACGTGTGTGCTGTCTGTGCTTTGTGGAGAATGTCAGATGTACATTTCAGTACATCAGGGCTGCCAGCATCTTTCAAAACCTGTTTTTAAACTACAGCAAGAACCCTCATATCTCATTATTTAAGTTCAGGTGCTGACAATAGGTTGTTCCCAGTCCTTTTTATTTTTTCCACTTGGGTCTTCAGCCAAAACTCCCTGTGCTGATCTGTTTGCATGGGGCTAGAACAAACTCTGCCACTGCTTTCCCTGCCAGCCCCCTTCTCTTTTGTGTGGAGCTTGAGAAAGCAGAGCTCCCATGATACTGCCAAACCTGTGTTTGGTTTTCACACCTGAGGAGCCTGCCAGCAGAGTGCTGGAAAGTGCTTGATCTTCTGACCTGTTGATTTAACAGCCAAAACGTTACTCTCTGTACAGAAATGTTACTCTCCTGCAGCAAAGCAGGGCTGTTCTTACCAAGCTGGCTTAATTGGAAAGCTGGAGGTGCCACTGCTGCAGCACCCCAGATCTAAACCCAAGGGGAGTGCACAGTAAGAAGAGAGTGAAAGGCTGTTTGTGTCTTAAGGTTTCCAAGCACTCTGAGAGCAAAGGGCTGTGAGAATGCGCCTGCCTGCCTTCCTCCTGCTGGCCTCCATCCAAGACACTAATTTATATCTGGATGCTTATTCTTTTCAGTTTCCCAAATAGTCTACTGACTCCTTAAATGTACTTTATTTTAGAGATATTCTTGGTTTTAAGCAGGAATCTCGAGAAATCAAAATATGCTAAGTCACTCTCTAAATTTCCTTCTGATTATATTACTTTATGTGGGGTTTTTGTGGGTGCTGTGACATTTAGTAGAGGGCCAGCAGGATCATGTGACCATGTTATCTCCTAGTTTTTCTTTTGTGTGCATGCCCCCTTCTTTAATTTTTTTTTAATAAAAAGTGTGCATACAAAAAAAAAAGGCACAGAGAAAAAAATATCACACACCCTTCTGCATTTCATCACTCTTTATGTTTTCATGTAGATGGAATTTATTAAAACTGTAGTTTGCATGACTTTACACAAATGCAGTTTCTTTCTGGTATAGAGATTTTGCTTCCTGGTCTCAAATATTGTGAATAGTGAATAGTGAAGTTTTACTTTTGTCATGAGAAAGTGCAAAACCCATTTCCATGCAAGCCATGATAGTTGTCAAATATTAAAGAAACTGTCTCAATTACTTAGGAGCAGTTTGTGGTAACAGAACAAATGGATCAAACCTTTCCCAGACAGAGGAGTCACAACTGCCTTGGCTCAGATGGTGCAGCCAGGGCTGCACAGCAGTTTCCACACGTGTTCTGAATACACTATAAACAGGACTTGCCTGCAGCTACAGATTGCACGTTCTTGCAGTTTTCCAAAAGTATGCTCGAGGAATTCCTCCTAATGCCAAAGGAAATGGTGCCTCTGAGAGAAGGAACTCTGCCTCTGAGAGAGGTGGGAATGATACTGGCAAGAGACACTTAATCATTGGTACTGTTTTTCTTTCTGGTGCTGTTAAACATCCAGCCTTTCTCTGCCTGGATCAAGTACCTTCTCCTCTGCCCTTAACTTTTACTTCTTTATCCCATGTATCTCTTTTCACTGCTTGAGCACAGTAACGAAATTGTCTCATCACAGTTGTCAGGGAGACAGAATAAACATCGCCTTAGCGTGGATCTGGACATTGGGGTTTGTTCAAGGCCTGTAAGATCAGAGCTTTTAACCTGCTTGATTATTTTACTCACTAGCTTCCCCCACCCCCGGTGTTACCTTCACTAAGTCTTGACTTCACTTTTCAGCAGTGGAGTGGCTGCTGGCCTGGGCGGGCCAGGCAGAAAATCCCATCAGTTCCATCAGTGTCATGCAGCTGCACCAGGGTACCAGCCTTGGATGTCATCAGTCAAGGTCCCTGGGCATCCCCTGGCATTTGTCTTCACCCACCTCCTTCAGGATCTTCCCCCATTTCCAGGATCTTTCCTGCAGCAGCCGTCTGCACCCTCTCCCTTTGAGCCCCCTGGTTTTTTTCCCAAATCAATTCTGCTTTTAGTGAATCCTTTTTCGGCATCACCTCTTCTTTTCATGACCCCTGTCTCTTTCTTTTCCTCATCTAAATAGTCTATGAAGCAGACACATAACACATGATCAGTATGCAAATTGCTGCTTCTGTCTTATGCCTCTTTTCTGATGGGAGGACTTGGGACATGCTGCTGTTTACTTTACCACAATTTACAACCAGCACATAGAGGTTGCAGGCAGCACATTTCTGTGTGAGAGTTCAGGAGTCTTTCAGACATTCACCTCCACACAAATCCACACCAAATTATCTACCACTTGTTAGCCTTCCATTTAAATTATCTTTCACCTACAGCACTCCTTCAAAGTTTGATTGCAAATAATGTTGCTTTTTCCTTATTAGTAACAAGCCTAATGAAGCCATTAATGCGTCATCCTTGACAGCTGTGTGGGAAAGAGGCACTTGCTGTGGTAGCACAGATTTGTGAGCAGGCAGTGTGACTCTTCCAGAGCTGTTTGCAGGATGAGATCCCTGCCTCTCTCCCCAAGCTCTCTTAAGAGAGAGGGAGAAAGGAGCTGTCAGCCTGAAGCCCCGTGTCTAACCAGGACCTTATCAATGGCTGCCAGTTCCCAGGGGTTCCCATAGCAGGCTTTTCATGGCCTTCACACTCTGCTGGGGTTCTTGAATCAGCATGGTGCCACAGCAGCTGTCAGCTTCAAAACAGACCAGTTTCTGGGAGGTTTAGCTTCAGGCAAAAGGAAGAGAGCGTCTTGGGGCTGTAGTTCATGTTCTGTCTCAGAATACAACACCATTACATACTGATCCTGGGTTAGTGGGTTTTTCAGTATGTTTAACCTTAGTTTGGCAATGTGTGGGGTCTGCCCCACTTGTACACTGTAAATGTATTTTGAGGTCAGAGTGTAAGATTTATGGGCAAAGGAGGTTTCTGCTGAAGCTGAGCCGAGACAGAGCTTTTAACAAGTTTTTGTTGTCATTTTAAATACAAATGATGTTTGCATTCATTCCTTCTTTTCTAAAATGCTTGAGCTGTGTTAAGGTTTGTCTGTAATACTGAAATGGTCAGTAAGACAAATTTTTAGTAAGTTTAATTGAAGACATCCATTTTGGAGAGACTCTCAATAAGACTTGATTTGCTGAATGAAATTATATATTTCATTCTGATACTAAACCACCTATTTGTCAGTGAGCAGTAAAAGGGGATTTTCTTTGTCAACAGTTCAGTAACAGAAGGAAATACGTACTCTTTGAATGTACTGGTGCAAAATTCCATTTGTAGTAATGCTGTCAAATCCAGTGAAGCATGGAATATTCTGTGCAGATGAGTTGTAATGCTGTTTTATAACACATGCAAGCATTTTGTCTTCCTATGCAGAAGCATTGGAAGTTAGTTGTTAGAAGCACTGGAAGTTATTACATTATAAACTGAACTGCAGTGAAATCTTTTCTTTTTCCCCTTGCCCTGTTCAAGGCCTTTCCATTACTTCTTACCAGTTTAAGCCACAAGGAATCAGCTTCTTGCAAAAACATAATTAGGGACTAATTAATTATTAAAGCTTCTGCTGTTGGTCAAGACTATCCCATTAGCTGAGTCCTTTCAAGTGAAAAACTTGTGCAGGAATATGAAAGCCTTTAAAATGGATGATGCTACAGTGAAAAGTAGAAAACATTCATACAGTGAAATAGTCTGGTTCAAACAGATCTGTTTTGCTATTCCAGGCGTTTCCTGTAATCTCTTACAAAGACAGATATGTTGTTGACAGACAGACTCTGCTTTGGACTCTTTCTGGAACTTTGCAGGCAATATTATTTTAAAGCAACAGAATTGTAATGTTTCTATTGCTTTTCTCCCCTCCAAGGTGCAGGAACTCCACGAGGAAGAGGCGCAGTGGGTGAACTACGACGAGGATGAGCTGTGTGTCAAGATGCAGTTGGCAGATGGGATCTTCGAGGCCTTAATCAGAGACACTCTTGATGTACTGAACCAGATAAACGAGAAACAGCGGAGGCTGCTGCTTGTCTGACAGTGCTGAAGTGAGCTCAGAGCTGCCAACCACGGAGTCACAGGCCTCTCTGACTCCTGACCTGCTCTCCTCCCTGCACGTGCTGCGGCTGGACTTCCACGCGTGGGGTTCCCAGGCAGTTCAGATGGATGAAAAGAACCTGAACTGGCTGTCAAGACCTCGCACCAGATTTATTGTTTGGAACAAGCTGATCCCTCACTTGAGGTTGCTTTGAGGAGTGCTCAAGACTGTTGGTGTGCCAATGCAGTTATGTCACGTAACTGTCAGCAGCTGCCCGGGGCCCCGGCTTGGGGCTTTGACATGTTTGGCTTGTTCCCTGAAAGGGTTGGGTTAAGTTGGGGTAGTGGCTTTTTGCTGGAATGGTGGTCAGCCATCAGTACTCAAATTGTCTTTAGAAATGTGAGTAATTTGGAGAAGCAACAGTTTGGTCAGGTTTTGGTCATAAACAGAGACTTACCATACTGAACAGTGTTACAATCGTAACACGTCTTCTCCTGCAGTCCTAACAATGTGCATCAGTTCCTTCTGCTTCAGAGCCTATTTAATTCACTTCTCCATGAAGCTGGTTTTCATCTTTCTTCTGTGATGTGGTACTGAGCATGATGCCAGTCCAGTCCAGGGAAATTAGATCATGTTTCTTCCTGCCTACAAGTAAAGAATTCTTGCTGCTTTGCTCTGAGGCAGAGCAAGATGAAGCCTGCCTAATGTCAAGCATGAAAGATGAGCCCGTGGATGACTTTCCTCCTACCGTGTAGCACTTCTCTTCCTGGAGCACCAGCTGCTCCCAGATAATGGATACTCAGGATTTTCTCAGGCACGAGACATGCAGGAGTGGAAAACATTTCCTCACAAAAATTTGGCCTTCAATCCCTCAGCTTTCTCCCTTACTGTCACCTAATGAAATTGGAGAAGCTGTTACTTGAACAATTTAGAGAACAGAGTGTATTCACCAAAGAAAGCGGTGTCTGGTGCTTGACTGGTCTGCATGTTTTGTGCTTGTGGGTTTTTTATTTATTTTCAGATAATTTATTAAGTGGATTACAGGAGAGTGTCCTGTGCAGTTGGCTGCACTGTCTTGTGTTTTGAGACAGACGAACTTGAGAGAGCATCTGGTTTGGAAACTTCCAGAGCCCCATATTCTTTGCATAAAACCTCCAGCTTCATGAGGCAGATATGAGGGGGTGAAGGTAGGAGCAACCAAACCTCAATGACCAAGGGTGGGACGCAAAGACAGGTCTAGGAGTGGAGCTTGGAAACCGAAGCACTTGGTTCAGAGACAATGGAGAGCTGAGGGGGCTGAGCTGAAAAATTGTTTGAAAATTCCCAGCTCTTTCTGTTCCCTTCCTTTCCCAGAACTTCTGCACCATATTATGTGGTTGATTTTGGTTGATTTGGCTGGATTTATCTGCAGTGTCATTCTGCTGAGTGCTGGTTCCTGACCTGTTCTTCCTGTTCTTGTGTTTTTCTTGGAGGAACATGGAAAATCTGGGGTCAAACGTTGATGCCTTAATAGTGGATGTCTCTGTTTGCTAACCTGGGACAAGACCCAGAGGAAAGTCAGATTCTCCAGGCACTGGAGTATAGAGAGAGACTTTGAAGCCCTCAGAGGTGCCCCAAAGATGCTTCAGCCCACAACAGGCATGGCAGGGGGCATCTCAACTGTTTCATTCATCTGCTTGGTTCTTGGGCTTCCTACTGGGCATACCTCTTCTACTGCTCCAGTTTGGTTTCTCTTTTCCACCTTCTTTTTTTTTTTTTTTTTGTTGGGTGTAATATTATTTGGGATTTTTTTGAAAGCTATCATTGGAATATTTGCATTTTGCACAATGACACACAGCTGGTAATTCTTCAGGGACAGCACTGGGAAATGTTGGATTTGCCAGAGGTCCATACAGATTCTCAGATGTAGTGTTGCCAGCACCTCACTTATGAGTTAGTGGTGAGCCGTATCCATGGGAGCTCTGTGAGTGGAAGAACAAGGAGGAGGTAATGGTGGATAGGGACACCTCCAGTGGGCATACACATCTGTCCTCAGTAGTGGTCCCTTTGGCTGGCTGGAAGTCAAATGGTCTTGGTGGAGCATTGTTCAGCTTTTTTTCCTCAAGTGATTCATTTGTTCATGTAAAATGTCATGATGCTGAACCAGGAAACCCTTGGATGTTTAAGACAGAAGCAAACTAAAGCTGCTAGATTTAACCAGCATGGTGTCACTGATTGGGTCACCACCTCAGATTCCCTTTCCTGGGTGTATCTCTTTCAATAGCAAGGATTGCTATTTTTATAGGTAGCAATTATGTAAAGAGGACGGAAACCTGCAGAGTTGGTATGTACCTGGAGCATCAGGTCAGGTTCTGTTCTGTAGATTCTGTGGCCAATGTTGAGGAGGTTGTCCTGCATCCCCAGGGCTTTTTGCTGTTCTGAGGGGCTCGTGGGGTGTTTCTGGTCTGTCCAGCAGGAGTGGGAAGGTTGTGCAGTCAGGCCTCACAGGGCATGGAGGCCTTTTGGAGATCATGTGCCTGTTGTCTTTTGGCTGTAGTACCCTCCACAGAAGCACTAACTGTTTTTAACAGGTGTTTGGACAGAAGGAAGCTGTGTCTAGGTAATGGCTTTGTTCCTTTGACATCACTGATTTATTTTTGGTAGCAATCCTTGCTAGGAGCAACCCTAAAATGACTTGAACGTACGTGAATTACCTTCTCAATACCTCACGTGTGTTGAGTTGCTTTGAGTTGAGTGTATGTTCAAAACCTCAAGTGGGTTGAGTACTTGTGGACTGATGATTACTGCGACGAAGCAAGGGTCAGGCTGGGTCAGGCTGCTAGTGAGGAGATATGGGGAAGCCTGGGGTCCCACAAACAGGCTGAATTCTCTGCTTCTCTCCCCAACCTGCCTTTGTAAGAGCAAGATATTTCTGCATCCTGGTTATCTCGGTGCAACCACGTAAGATTCAAGGCTGGGACATTTTGCTGAGACCCCTGAGTTGTTTGGGGCAGCAGCTGTTATCACTGGGGACATGCTGCTCCATCTTTGGAAGGATCTCAGAGCCAGGTGGGAAAGCCCAGGCTTGTGGGAACACGGAGTGCACGTACCTCTGTAACAGCAGGATGCTCTGTGAGCTGAGCCCTGGAATATCAGTCTTCTGCCTTTCAGAGAAGGCTTGTTGCTCACAAGGTGGAATGAGGGATTGAAAAATCCCATCTTGTTCCTTTTCCTTTCTTGAAAAAGTGGCCTTAGCTTTTTGCAATACTTGAATAAGTGTGTACCTGCAGAAGTAGCACAGTGACAGAGACCTTTTAAGTGACTATTCTGCGAGGAACTGTGTGCAGTTCCAACTTTCATATCTCTTTGCTACCTTAAGAATATTAGGAAAACAAAGTACTTTTCAGCAGACAAGCAGTTGAATCTTACAAGGTATTTAGTGCATCTGAAGTGTTTACAAACCAACTAAAATGGAGAAAAACAACCTATTGAACTTATTTGTAATTTAAGTGTTAAATGCGAAATTATATACAGATGAAAAAGGAATACTGTAATTAACCTGCATTTACTAGGGGGTTTTTTTCCTTGATTTTGCAGAGCCTTTTGATACACATTTGCAAAGCCGCCTTTTGGGAGGCTCAGTCTCCCCATGTACTGTGTTGTGGAGATGCTGAAAAGAAACCCATTTACTGTGTATGTGTAAATAACCTGGTAACTTGGGGTTTGGGCCAGTTTCAGCTCGTGTTCACATCCACAGCAGCTTTGCACAGTAGACAGATCCAAGGATGTGGAGGGGTTGGGGAGGTTTTTTGTAATTAAGAACTGTAAAATAACCAGGATGGTCCCTGTGTACACCAGTGTAAATATCTTTGGTAACTGAAATGTACTTTAAGAGAACAAATTCTGTAAATAAACTGATTTATAAATTAATCTTGTTTTCTGGATTTTATAAAATGGAGCTTTCTAATTACCCAAGCAGTTGCTAATTCTGACGGTGTCCTGGAGATTTGTCCCTTGAACGTTCCCCTTTCTGTCTGATGCTGTACTTGGGATGCCAATCACAGTCTACAAAATCCCATTAGAGTTGCCTTAATTATAATCATAACTTTATGAGAATTTCCTTATTGTTAAAGCTGACTGTTGATAACACCAGAAAATAGCATTGAGCAATCATTGCAGGAGTTCACTGTGGGAGAAAAACGACTCCTTGCACATATTTATTTAAAATATGTTTTAAAAGCTCATGGCTTAAAACATTCTTATGTTAAGCAACAGTTTTGGAATTAAATTCTTCAGAACCTCAGTCTTGTTTTGTATTCCTAAATTGCTACAGCTCTGTAGAGCTGCTGTTAGCAGCACCAATCCCTTCCTCACCAAGAGACAAATATTGCTCCCTGGAAATTTTATGTGTTGGTGAACTTTTCTAAATCTTTGCTGTTTTCTTTCCAGGACAAGAAAAGATCCAAGTCACTTTAACACATGAAAGGTCCTGGAGCTCTGTAAGATGACAGCCAAGCACTTGCAGTGCCAAACCACAGGTGTGGGCACGTGGTGATGGAGTGGCAGTGTGAAGGTGTCAGCCAGGGAGCACAGGTGTTTATTGAGCCTCCTCAGTGCCTGTGGCCACCCCTCTTTTGGTGCCTTTTATTATTAATGTACAGCCCAGCAGAAAAGGCTTTGCTTTCCATTTACTGCAGACCCTGTACAACACCCAGCACTGGTCATTCCAGCTTGGAGGACACTGTGTGATTGTCAACTCCTCACCTGCCTGGGAGGGCTGTTTGCATTAAATGGGGGGGACCTGTATGAGCTAAACTGTTGCAGTTATTTCTTCTTTGCTTTTCCTTAGCAGAGCTACCTCACCCTGGAGGAGGATTTGCTGCATTCAGGCTTCTGTTACGGAAGAAGCTTCGCTGCAGTCCAGGTGTGCCGTAGGGCTCATCCTCAGTGGAGCGTGCTGGGGACACCATCACAGCCCTCACAGAGGAGGACATCACAGCCCTCAGACACACAGGAGGATGTCACAGCCCTCAGACAGACAGAAGGACGTCACAGCCCTCAGACAGACAGGAGGATGTCACAGCCCTTAGACAGGAGGACATCACAGCCCTCAGACAGACAGAAGGACGTCACAGCCCTTAGACAGGAGGACGTCACCGCCCTCAGACAGACAGAAGGACGTCACAGCCCTCTGAGCTCAGCAGCTGAACCGGCCAAACGCAGTGGTGGGTCCTTGGACGTCCAAAGGGCTCAGGCCAAGTGGTGCTGCAGCCTCTGTGTCCTCATTAGTGAGCAGCAGAAGAGTATCCGTGTCGTGCCTTTCCTTGCCCTGCAATGATTTTACTCCACGAGTCCTGTTTTTTTTGGACAATTGTCTACTTGCATCCATCCCTGGAAGGGGCTCAGAGTGCATTTCATGTTGGAAAAAAAAAAACCTGATCTATGCTTCTCTGGCTGAATAAGAGGCTTCCTTTAAAAACGGCTCAAGCTGTGGGAGTGCTGCCAAGGTGCTCCGGCGGGTGACGCAGCAAACTGCTGCATTGCTCCTGCTGTCCTTGCCCAGGATGCCCAGCAATCAGTGTGATGAAGGCTCTCATTTCCTCATTTGCAAGTCTACGTTGCTTCACTTTGTCACTGACTTTCTACCCGTGGTGTTTGTGCAACTCCTCCCAGAACCTTTGGAGCATGGTTACCTTCAACAGCTGTTTCACGTGTGGACCTGGTGAAACTCCTGGGTTGGGCAATGGCCAGCAGCCACCTTCCTCATGGCACTCTGGATTGAGTGGGACTGTTTGGTGCCTCCCTTCCCAGGTACAGCCCACTCCCAGGTGCCTCCCTGGGGATGTGGTGCCAGCTGCAGCCATCCCACGTGCTAAAATGCCTGGCAGAGCACTGGAGCGCTTGAAATGTTGACTCTGCTCCAGACGTGCTGTGCCCTGCCTAGCACAAGGGCTTCTGCAATGTCCAGGCTCTCATTAACACAGCCCTGAGAAGAAAAGCAGTTGGTGGGGACCTGCTGAACACCAGCAGCTCTTCAGAGTGCAGGAAGGAGAGGAGGGGGGCTGCCCAGCTGCTGGCACCCAGCCCAGAGCATGGGCCATTGCCTGGCAGGAATGCAGATGAGATGTAATGGAGTTTGAAAGTGTAGGGCACTCTCTGGGATGCCGGTCCTGTGGGGGAGGGAAAGGCACCCTGTGAGACCTGGGAACTGGAGCAAACAAAACCCCTAGCACCAGCTCTGTACCTTCCTGCCTCCTCCTGAATAAGGTCCTGCAGAAATTTAAGGAAAAGGAGGAAAATAGAGTAGCTCTGTTCAGGAGGGTGATGGTTGTGCAGGTTCAGGGGCTTAGAGGAGACTCCTGGAGTGCAGATCCCTTCTTTTGCCTGCCAACAGTGCTGACGGCCCAGAGCAGGTGGTTAGTTCCTGCTCTGAATGTTTCTCTTGGCCCCAGTTTTCCAGCCCCTTGCTCCACCTGTACAAGACCTGCTGTGTCCCTTGGGCTGTGTTCCCTCCCTGATGTGGGTTTCCAGTGGCTTCCTCTTGCATGAAGTCTAGACTAACTCAAACTCAGATTTTGTCTGAGAATTTGCTGGAGGTGGAAGTAACACCACTTCTGGGGGGTGCCACAGCTACGATTTGATTTTATTCCAGCAAAATAAAGGAGGCTGCAAGGGGATCCCACTGCTCACGTGGCTTGGCTTGGGGAGCTCAGCAAGGAGCCTGGTTCAGTGTCTGTGTCTGGCTGTGTTGCTGCAAGGACTGATGGAGCCAGCACTGCTCAGTGAAGCTGTGATTGGGCACAGCAGTCCTTGGAAGGTGAGACCTTGCTTACCTTGCAGGACTACTGTCAGAACAAGAGAGGAGTGCTCCGTTGTCATCCCTGTGGTATTCTCAGTTTCATGCGCTGCAATTAAACCACCTGCCAAATAATGATGTGGCAAATCTGGGCGGTGTGGCCTCCTCCAATCTGCTCCTTAAAGCTGGGAACATGAGCTGGACTGGAAAACATCTGCTCTGTGCAGCCTGGGTCATGGTAATCATTTATGACTGTTAGTAGATCTGAAATTTGCAGGTAAAGTGTTTCCTACCCAGACATACCAATGACAGTGCCAGTTCCTGCTGGTCTCCCTGGGTTCTGCTGAAAGGGGCAAGGGCAGCATAGCTGCTGTCCTTTGGAGCAGGGATGAATCAGCAGAGGGTGAATAGCAGGAGGCTGGTACTGCTGTATTCTCTCTGCAGATGCAAACTATGTGAACACATTCATCATATCCTGAGAATGCACCCCAGATTTGCTTTTGTGCCTCTTATTATTACAGGCTGGTTGGGCTTGAAAGGTAGAAAGCAACAATTTCCAACCAAGCCTGTCTCATGGAGTCAGCAGTTCCCAGCTGCCAGTGGGGCTTTGAGGGGCCATCCTGGTCTTCACAGGTGTCAGCCTGGCAGAGCCAGTGCAGAGTGTGGGAAGCAGTCGGGATTCACATCACCTCCAGGTGTCTCAGCAAAGCTGGCAGGTTTGTGGCACAGGTGCTGCCAAAGGTCTTGTCTGAAGCCATATCTCAGTGGAGATGGGTGTGACTTGTGCCACCAAGGAAAAAGTGCCACCTGGATTGGAATGTCCAATCCAGGAGGTGGAGGGTGGCACATGGGAGGTGGCAGGTGGCACAATTTCCCTCACTCTCTGAGGGAATTCAGGCTTTTTATTCACAGAAGGACCACACTTTAAGCAGTGCAGTGCTGCAGATCAAAGAGGACTTCCTTGAGTTCATCATCTTGTGAACTCTAGAGAAAGGAAAACTGCTGAGCTTCCTCCAAGGTGCTTGCAGGGATGTTGGATGCAAACCTCTCTGAGCAGGCTCCGAAATGCCAGTGACGGAGTTGCCGTGATTGTATCATGAGTCTTGCATTGGTTGCGTGTTTTCCTTGGAGTCAGTTCCTGGAATCACACAATTAGGTAGGAACGTCTTCTGTAATTTTCAAGGAAGAAAGTCCATTTCAGGATCTCCCTGTGGCTCTGAACCTTCACAACTAAAGGGCAATGAGGAGGGTCTGCTCGCCTGGCCATTTGGAACATTTCATAGACAGATTCATGCTTTTAAAAATGGACAATAAAAGCCTTTCTCCATTTTCTGAAATGTAGTCTTTTCCATCACTTCAAGGACTGAACACGTAAAATCCAACCACTCTTTCCTTGATTCCTCTCTAACCCAGCACAGAGGTGATCTGAGTAGCTTTATGTCTGAAAATGATCCATTTCAGGTGCACGAAACAAGTTCTGCAGGGCTTAAATTATTTTGGTGAGATTGTGGCTGCCTTCTGAGGTTCTCAGCCTGTTGATGTTGCCCACGCCTCACTGACTTCAAGGAGATTCCTGCTGGGTGTTAGTCTGGGAAAGGAGATTTCAGAGCTTAATGAACTAAAGCCACTGCTCAGCTGCTGCACAGAGATTGTGCAGCACAGGAATCTCTGTGGTCATCCCATGGCCTTGCTACGGAATGAAGCACAACTCTCCCCAAAGTTAAGGATGCTGAGGTAGGCACTGAAGGCTTTGCTGGGAGAACCAAGCAGGTTCCTAAATGTGCAGTGGGAGCCTAAAGCTGACCTTTTAGGGCTGGCTGGGGCTCAGCAGGTGGGCATCCAGCATCATCCAGCACCTGTGCCCTGGTTTTGCTACCTGCAGATTCCATTGGCAGCCAGAGAGGACAAAAAGACAGAGAGCACTGGGAGGACGTTTCTAAAACCTCCCCAGACTTCTACTGTTCTTGACTGCTATTATTTCATCTTAGTTGCTTTCAAATCCAACTTAAAAATAGTTGTTTCAAAGCCTCTCCTTCATCTTTGGCTTCCCATGCCCTGTGTCAAGGTGTTCTGCAATGAATACGTGTCTCTTCCCATTCTGAGGTGCAAGAAAAGCCTCATCTCCTGCTTTGCA